CAGTAGCCAAAGTCTGTAGTCTCTCGTAAACTGTATGAACACAGGTAACACAGCTCTATCAAGTAACTATTTGTAAAGAAATATCAATTTCACTATTTTGGGCGGAGGACTTAGTACCGTAAACCCTAACCCTAAATCTTCTACTAAGCACCCCCTCTTGAATAAGCCCCTTCTCTCTAATAAGCCCGCTCTTTTCAGGGGAAGGAAGTTAAGAAGCCCCTCCTCTCTTTTAACCTCCCTCCCCTCCCTTAATTATTCTTTACTAATAAATGATAGACTGTCACGACTGTGAAACTTTGTGTGGACTGATCCGGGATGGTTTATTCACCAACTGGAAGTTCGGATTTGTTTTGATCCTCAGCTGCATAACCTCTAACTTCTTGTACTTGAGCCTTTCCACGTTGTATCCTACTTTTTTTTTTATGGAGAACTGATACCATCGTCTTTACTAAATCAAATAAGCTACCTCTTCTCAAATAAGCCCCCGGTCTCTGATAAGCGCCCCCATCAAATTGGTTTGAAATGAATAACCCCACCCGAGGGGTGGGTCAACAGAGGATTTACAGTATGCTGATGTGTATGTAGGGATGTGATTGTAGCTGTACTGGTCAGATGCCAATAACCCGGAGCGGGCAACTCCCATACTCGTCCTATGTCACGGCATTTTTACGGAACACTTTATTTTTAGATATCGAAAATAGAATCTCTACCATGTCTATGAACGCATTCGAAGTATAAGATATCAAAAAGGAAAACTTAACGTTATTAAAAGGCAAAAAATATCATTTTTAAGTCCGTACGTTTTGCTGACTTTAAAAGATATTCAAAATTCGCGCCAAAAACCGTTCTTAAAATAAACCGCTCCGTGAAAACGCCGTGACACGAGCGCATGGAAGTTGCTCGCTCCGGGTTATGGGCTCCTGACTGGTGCAGACCCAATGACCTCCTTTTCGTGTCATACAATCTTTCACACAGTGCACGAACCTAAAAAACATAATTGTCAAAACTGAACGGAGCCACTTTGCTCAGTTATTGCCAAGGCCTATGTCAGAGGATTTCGTGAAATACCCCACGGGATAAATGACTGATATATCGGGACGTCAGTAACAATGGCGTAGTTAGAGGTAGGAGGTGGGGTACTGCTCTCTTGCCAGGGTAATTTGCAAAGTCAACCACAAAGTTTACATCAGATGTTTACTCTATATTTGGGATTGACTCAGTGCATATAGTCATGAGGATATTACTAACAACAATTCATTCTACACACTTTTTGACAGACTAATGAGCAAATCCTCAAACAGTTATGTAAACATGTTCTCGAGGCATGCTTGACTTTAGAAAGAATGGTTTTAAGTTAAAAATATTTCAAGGTTTTTTCTTCTTGTTCTTGCCTTACAAAAATAATTCTTTAGTACAAAATAGTTAAATAGCTTTTTATACCTGCTGTACAGTATTTTGAAAACTTCTTTGTCTGCAATGCCTATGATACAAATTATACCCATTCCCTCAAATGACGGAAATGACAAAAATGCTAGTGAATAAATTAAACATTATCTAATTATATATTAATTTTTTTCTCAGAAAAAAAAAAATGAAAGTTTTGTGCAAAAATTTCATATACAATAAAAAAATAAGGATATTGCCATTGGTACCCTATAAAATTCATAGAATAACACAAACTTTGGAATCATTTTTCTGTGAGCTAGCCTGCATGGCTGCATTGTTATTGTTTACTCCTTGAGAGTCTGCAAGAGATTGTTCTAATTTTTTAACATGATCAGACATTTCTTTGGCTTCCTTCTCCATCTGGGATATTTTTTCATCTTTAAGCTGGTCATCTTTGGCAAATCGCTTTAATCTTAACTGCAGATCCTTAACCTTTCTTTCAGCGGTGTCCAGTTCCCTCTCAGTTTCAGCTAGCTTTTGTTTCAGGTAACTGTCGGAATCTGAAGCAAGCGAATCTGAAAACATGAAACATTTCATTGACCCTTTAATGCATAATATCACAAAACATAATTGCCCAATTGCCATAATTGCCAATCTTTTCACACACCATACATGCATACATCTACAGTATATAACAAAATTTAGGCTGTGTATAAAAGTGGGATGGGGACATTGTAACGCGTGTGTGGGGACTTGGGACTTGGGACTTACGGAAGCGAGGTGAAGGACTTGGGGACTTTAAGTATGGGATGCGGGGATGTCAAATACAGGGATGCGTTGAATGTGGGGATGGGAATGATTATTGCAAAAGTCAGAGGTAACGAAAAAAAGGAAACTAAATTAAGTGGCATAAGCGCACTGCGAACTCCAAAGTGCTAGCAACAAACCATTGCCTGTAACACTACACCACAAGTGAATTCAACTATTGTAACAATATTCTACTTTGTTTTACATATTTTTAGTGGCAAACCTAACAGTAAAATTAATGCTTGCTAATAGTGCTTAACCCTAATCACAATAGTCAGTGCGCTTACTCCTATATAAGGAAATATTTTGTGCTAAGATCATAAGGTGTCCAATGTGGTTCTGGATGATGGAATCTAATGTTGACAATAAATAACAGATTTTCACGAACAAAGAGATATCGCATGTACCTCTGACTTTTGCAATAATCATTAACGTCCCTATATTTGACATCCCGAGTCCCCGTCCCACAATTGTTCCCGCATCCCATAATTGATGTCCCTAATTACCTTGTCTCGTGTCCTGCTGTCCCCACACACACATCCAAATCCCCTTGTTCACATCCCACTTTAATACAAAGCCCAAGATTTGAAAGAAACAGTTCTGGGGGATAACACAATTTTGAAATGGCAAAACCAAAACATACAAGCTATAAAGGTAAAATAATAATCCCTCTCCGTCCTGTTCACATTATCACATAACCCTTATTTATCAGGAAAAATTGAGAATGGTATGAAAGTGCAGCATCAAATCTCTACATGTATGAGCTGTAAAACAGGAGCTATAAACACTCCCCTAGCTGGTGTACTTATTCCACCAGCCTAATGCTAAAGGTGTTCTTCTGACTCTCTTCTAGCAGTCACATTACTAAGAAGCAAGATGCAAAAATAAACAAACATACCCTTATTCCAGGAGTGGTACGGTGGTGAATGTTACTTAACACTGAAACTGACCCCAGATTAATGTGTCATTACCACTCAATTGTTTTCAATGGTGATCATAAAAAGAGCCATCTCGTTTTTGTTTTTCTTTCATGTAATGTGTGTGCAATTGCATGGACTGTCTTTTTTGACAGAAGCTACTTGCAGATTGAGGGCTCTACCCTGCAGCATGATCAGAACAGCTAATGCTAGATACTCACCTTGGCTTCTATTGTCCATTTTTCTTGCTCGTAACTTTCCAACTTCTTGCTCAAGACTGAGAACCTTGATTCTGTAGGCATCCTCCTGTTGTCTCATCATAAAAATCTCCTGTTTTAGTTTCTTGTTCTCTTCTTGTATTTCACCAGCTGGTGCAACCACAGCCTGGGATACCTGCAAACCCTCCTCTGCTATTTCTACTTTTGGGGCATCTTCTTTGGACTTATGAAGGTTGGGTTCATCACCAAGCTCTTGTGCCTCCTTTGCAGTCCCACTACTTGCCAGCACAGATTCACTACCAAGGCTTGTCTCATTTAATAGAATTTCATTGGTTACCTCCCCATTCACTTGCCCTTCTTCAGGTTGATGCTTTGTAGGTGCTGACGTTACTTGCTCATTATTATCTACAGGGATCTGAGCTTGCTGAAATTGAGGAGGAGCTATAGTTTCTTGCTGTTCGTTTACAGCTGGGGTTTCTTGTTGATCTTGAGGAGGAGCTACTGTTTCTTGCTGTTCGTTTACAACTGGGCTTTCTTGTTGATCTTGAGGAGGAGCTACCGTTTCTTGCTGTTCATTCACAGCTGGGCCCTCTTGTTGATCTTGAAGAGGAGCTACCATTTCTTGCTGTTCGTTTACAACTGGGCTTTCTTGTTGATCTTGAAGAGAAGCTACCGTAACTGTTTCTTGCTGTTTGTTTCCAGCTGCGTCACCTTGTTGATCTTCTGCAGTGGATGAAATTTCTTTTTGTTCTTTTTCTAGTTGATCTTGAGTAGCAGCTAAAGTTTCTTGCTGTTCATTTCTAGCTGTGTCTTCTTGTTGATTTTGAGTAGGAGCTACAGCCTCTTGCTGTTCTATCCCAGCCATGTTCTCTTGTTGTTGTTGTGCAGGGGTTAAAATGTCTTGCTCCTGTTTTTCTACAGCGGTTTCTACAGATTGCTCAGCTTCAGTAGGAGCTGCAGTCTCATGCTGTTCCTCATCTGGAGAGATGTTTTGTTGATCTTGTCTGGGAACTATATTCTCTTGCAGTTCATCAGTTGCTGTGACAGGGCTGTCTTGCTGATCTTGCTTGTGGGCTTCAGAATCTTGCTGTTCATTTGAGCTATCATTTTCTTGTTTTTCATGCTTGTCAAGCTGCTGCTTTCCAAGTGTCCCAATTTCTTGCACTTCTGATGTTTTCTTGTCATCACTGCTGTTTTGTGGTTCACCTTGCAACTGTTCTACAGTAGCACTACTTTGGGCAGCTTGCACAGGAACACCACTCTCTTCAGGTGACACTTCCTGCTTAGGAGATTCATCTGTTCCACCAACTTCTTCATCAGTAGTTGGCTGATCATTTTTTGACAGATCACCTACAAAAATGAATAAAATTTAATATTCAGACCTGGTGAATATTGCTGCTCTAATATCTAATCCTTCCTGGAAGAGCTCAGAAGGATCCATAATAAGTTTGCACATTTTTGAAGAATAGCAACCAAGACCTCAGCAAACAGGCGAGACTACCTTGTGATATAATACAAGCTGAGCCAGCCTGATAACCCTGGCTTACTTAATATGAACAGGCCCTTACTAACATTAAATATTAGAAAGGGCCTAACTGACAGACGACCAATGACACTGCGACTTACTTGACCAATTAGGTCACTATTCAGAGTTTAATACCATCAACTGATGTGATACAGCTCACTTTGACTCTGATGACTACCACGCAGGTTGCCAACTAGATTAATTAATTACATAAATTTAATAAGATTAACTTAATTAGATTATTAGTGGCTTCTCCCACATATTCCAAGTGCCCCTGCACGCTCCATTACTCTCTCTAACCTTTGGCTTAGCCACCAAAATTAATGTACAGTATACAAACCCTGTAACTCAGACTCAGATAACTGACATTCCCCAATAACTGAAACTTTAATTTTGTTTCTCATGATCAAAATTAACCCGGCCTTTGAACTCTGGTTTTTGCAACTCACTTAGGATGCCATCTCATCAGTAACAGGTTAAATCACCAAATCATACACTACAACAATTTGAATTTAATGAGGCCCAGCTATTAGGATGAAATTCTGACAAGCGACATGGCTTTTAAACAGCAACATAAGAAAGATAAAATGACAACAAATAACAAAACAACAGGTTGAACCTGCACAAGAATTATGGGGAAAATCGCAAATACAATGGTAAAATGCCAACAGGGACATGGCTTCCTCTTCAGTATGCCGCCAAACAACTGCTTTTGAAATTCATACAAAAGGACATAATGTACCCACCACTCAGGAGGGGGGTGGAGTTACTCTGTTATATGGTCTATATGGGGAGGTGCCACTGGACAGGGAGGAGGAGCTGAGTTCAAGTCCTGTTCTGACCGCTAGCTGGATTTCACGGTAGTCCTGAGTTCAAATCCTCAGCCACCTGACTTATAAATAGCCAGCTGCAGGTTTGCCTCCGGCCAGTTGGGATTCTTAATTAACCCTGTCAAGTTTGATTTAGATTATTTGTTTCAGGCATTTGCCTGGCCCCACTAGCATTTAAGTGCTATAAATACTGCCGAGGGTAAATAAGGGAATTATTTATTTATTTATTTTATTATTTTGTGTGAGTCAGTGTCCTTAAAAGGGTATGTCTGTCAATGGGGTATTGTCTGCACAATTGATTTCATTTGCTAGATGAATTTTGTTTGTGCAGTCAACTCTCTCTAAGATGGACACCTTTGGGACCGGCACTAAGTGTCGGTCTTAAAGAGGTGTCCGTCTTACAGAGAGTCCAATAAAAGGAGTAAAGAAAGGCAGGGACCAACTCTGAGTGTCCGTTTTACAGAGGTGTCCATCTTATAGAGGTGTCCGTTAAGAGAGAGTCTACTGTACTCCAAGTATACAAGGGCAGTGACTATAATGTGATTTGCTCTGACATGAATTTTGTCCTTTGTCCTAAACAGGGTATGTATTTTAGGAATTTTTTGTCCTAAACAGGGTTAGGGTCTCAACCCTCAGCGGCTCACCTATACCTAAATATTGGTTGAGTACCCCACCCCCACCCCTCCCCAACAGAGACCCACGACACAATGCACCTTCAACCACAGGGAACCCATACAATCTGTGTGTGTAACCTATTGTTATTTTACTGTAAACATAGTTGACTTTGAGTTCACTATTTACTGTTCCTAATAGTAGAAGAACAATGATGGAATCAATGTTTTGAGCAGCTCCAGTGCCGGAGCGATTTTTCCCCAGAAAATCACATCACTTCGCTTTCAAACTTCGCAGGAAGGAACAATAAACGGGGAACTCAAAATCCTTCTAAATCGCTCAAAAAACCACCTTTGAGGCAAAAGGATGACAATAGGTAATTAGGTAATTCAAGGTGTACTTAACTTTGATTTAGATACATATTTAGTGATATTTCGCTATAAATGAAGCAAACGGTAAATTCAGTACATAATTTACAGTAAAATAACAATCAGTATTAAACCACTCACATTGTGTGTTGTGCTTGAACAAGTGAAAGAACACAACAAGTATTTGACAGTCATTAATAATTCCCAATCTTATGATTCATATCAAAATCATCAGAATAAGAATGCATAATCGTGTTACAGTTGTTAAGAGATAAATATAATTTGCACAGTGCTATAACGATCAGAACAGTTCAAAAATCAGTAAACTGTCAAATATCATCAAACGTCATGTCAATTTCAATATTCAATTGACCCGGTAAACTGGATCATGGAACCCATGTTAACTGGTCTTAACTAGACCTGTTTTTTGTTTCCATTCAGGTTCGAGTTAATGGGGTTCTTAACAGTGTCTATTGACTTTGAAAATAAGAGGCTCAATAAAAACAACCCCTTAAAGTAATAGATACTATACGTATCCCTTGTGTCCAGCTCTTAAGGGAATCGCTTGTTCGATTGTTCGTGACCAAAAGAAACCGAACTGACAGCCTTCCTCGGTCGCTTTTCAAAACAAGCAAAGTTTTGGGCAAGTCTTCATTTTACAATACTTCCCGGAAAAGGATGATCGTGATCATAACCAAGTGGATATAATTTGCTTGTTACAGCTTATTCACCATCTTTCATTTACACAAAAGGGATCCGGCCTCGCGCCTTTCCGTCACTTTAACAGCTGTGTCTGTTGTTCAATATCTTTCATTAAAGTGTTACTCATACAAGGGGTTCGTCCTTTCATTCGTTCAATCATATCCTACAAATCAAACTTAAGCTCCTTAGTTTTAAAAAACAATTAAGTCTTTACCTGAAGCTAACTGGTTGCCGTCCTCTTGTTGTTGGGAAGTGATCTCGTTGCGTTCTTCAGACACTTCAGTTGTTTCTTGGCTTTCAACCAATACTTGCTTCGCATTATCTTCGTCCATCTTTCTTAGTTGACTTGACCAAACGCCTAAAGAAACGTATGGTTCAAGACAAAATCCAAGTTATTCGGAACGACAGAATGAACTACTTCGTGGTCGGAGACGACAGGGGAATTCGTGCAATGCTTTGATCTTCTTAAGCACAAATTTTTTCTCGTCTGTACAACCTGTCGACCTTTCTTCGTCACCATTTAAATCAAGTCTTCCCGTATATGTCCAGGTGTTCTACGCAGCAAGATTTTTTACCATCGGTAAAAAAATACTACTAAACTTCAAGAGCGAATGGAAATCACACGTTCTGGTTCACACATCGCATGGTTGCTTGGCAACTTGGCAGCCAGCAAAATCAATTACGCAATAAACAATAGCAAAAGTGCCTGGGGATTTATGAGAGAATCGCAAAACCACAAGAGGTCTCGCGAGTGGTACAAGGGGAAATAGTTTTCGAGTTGTTGCTACCACTGTTCCTTATCAAACAAACAGCTAGAAACCAACAGATGCCATTTTCTAGGCCTGTGAAAGGCATTTGACAGCGTGCCTCACGAGGGTCTACTGCTCAATCTCAACCGACATGGTATTAATGGGACCCTGTTGCTATGGTTTAGAAACTTCCTGACAAATAGACAACAGCGAGTCACGATACAAGGAACATTCTCTGACTAGTCTCCACTGACATCGGGTGTTCCCTAGGGCACGATCCTCGGGCCTACCTTGTTCTTAATTTACGTAAACGACATACCAAATGTTGTTACATCTACTATTAAACTGTTTGCTGACGATACAAAGATTTACCTAGCCTGCGCAAAACCCCCTTCCCCTTCCCTTTCAAACGCCTGCCACACAGGTTAAGGTTACCGTGAAATTAATTATGGTGGAGGATACATCAGCACAACAGACGGATCTGGATTGCCTGGAAAACTGGACAAGAAGCTGGCAAATTAAATTTAATCCTCAGAAATGGGAAGTAATGAGAATAATGCATAAACAGGACAAAAGTAACCATCCTTATTACCAGTCGAATACAGGATTAAAATCGGTTAAGTTATGTAGGGACCTGGGTGTTTATGTGTCGGGAGACTTATACTGGTCGAGCCTTGTACGTGGCGGCTCGTCTCATAACCTTTTAAAATAAAGTCCAGATGTAACGCGCACTCTGATTGGTAGAATATGCGTGCTTTATGAGAGACTTAAACACGGAGCTAAAGTTGTCATGCGCATGGACTCGTTCCTTTTGGGAATTTCACTTATTCTTTATCATAAAACAAATAAAGGAACTCTGATTGTGCTCTCTTCTGTTGTAAAGCACTTAGGAAGCGGCTAGAGCAATCAAGAAGTAGGGAGAAAACACTCGAATGCGTCTCGAGTTTCTCCCTACACTTCTTTCATGCTCTGGCTGCTTCTTACGTGCTTTACTACAGAACAAAGCACAGTCAAGGCTTCTTTCTTTGTTAACCCAAATTACGACTGCGACTCAGGCAAACTCATCTAAGTCTTCGATGGAGAAACCAGGTCCATCAAAGTATGATTAGCAAATCTATTTTAATTCATAAAGCATTACACAATTACTACCCAGAATATTTGAGATCCAAATTCATTAAAAAAAGCGACCTTACTTCGTAAAATCTGAGAAATACTGACCGTGAGTAAACTTGCAATACCACATCCTCACTCTCTAACAAACCAACATGACTACAGGCAAAGTTTTTGAATCATTTATTTTTCAATCACTTCTAACAAGTTTTGAATTATATCTGTGGCTCCGCATCCTTCAAAGTCAAAACGTTTTATGTTGTTAGTATAGGTATATAGTATTGTATCCGGAAGACTTAGTATGTATATTTAAAATATATTGTTAACTCCCATAGGATCGTTGGTAAATCAAGTTGACTAGACTAGAGAATTAGAACATAAAAAAGCATTTTTGTATGAACACCCTCGTCTATTAAGGTTTTACAAAAATCAATTTTGGAGAGGTTCTCAGTTTAACAAGAACGGCTGAACAGTATTCTAGATCGTAAAAACAAATTAACGGTCAGTTCTCTAATAGCCGCTTTTGAGACAATAACAGGCCATGCCATTGTAGAGGTTAAAACAAAAGGAAATGCATCCTCCAAGACAAAAAAGAGCCCTTTAGTTTAAAAAAAAAGCAAAAGAGCATACCGAAGGCTAACATTAAGGGCCTGTTTGTACGACGTGAGCAAGCCCGATTAACTTAGATGGCCCGCTTTACCAGGTTAGCCCGGCTCGTGCCTTAATTCCTTATAAAATTTTCGTCGTTCATATAAGAAGGCAGGCCAACCCGCTTGCGAAGATCTCGGTTACTACTCCTTAGCTAAGATTGAAGATGTCCAAACAATGTACTTTTAACCTCTCTTAACCAGAATCTTTTTCTGGTCGAAGGGTGTCCGCTTATGTTAGGTTCGACCACTTTTTGTCAATAAATTTGAATTACAAAAATAGAAAAAAAAAATGAATTCTCCTTTTTCAGTCTCCTGCTCAACTAGATGTTGCCTCGACTGGAGGAGAAGGAGTGGCTGCTGCATCTTCATTTGAAGGAGCACCTGTAAGGAGACATAGAAGATGAAATTAAAAAAACAACAACAACAACAATACTGAGCCCCCTCAATAATTCATGGCAACCAACTCAACGATTTACGGCATAAATATGAGAGCGGTTCTCTGAAAGGAAACCGGACGCCAACGCTTTATAACTCCCACCTTACTTGTTCTGTTATTTTACCTTCTGAATTTTCTTTGCTTTCCTTCTCCTCTTTTTCTTCTTCTGCAGTTTTGTCAGCTCTGAAAAAGATTCTTGCGCTATTGAGCGAAAAGTACACCAGTTCAAATTCCTGGAAAAGAACAAACCAAACAAAAGTAAAACATGGTGTACAATAGAAGAGGATCAAATCATGATAATAGTTGTTGTTTATAACACCAACTGAAGATACACAAGTCACACATAGTTTGCAATCAAGAGCTAGAGTACCTAAAACCAAGTACTTGGTCTTTTTTGCATAAACAGCATAACCTTTTAATAGTCTCACAAGTTGTTAAAAGCCCTTTTAGTAATATACCCGGCTTCTTTTTTTCATAAGGAAAAATTGCTCTCACCTACCTGTTGGTATGTGTTCAGGCGTTTAAGAGTTAAATTCATAGTCTGCTGCAGTTTCTCGTCCCGTGCTGTCCCACGACTGAGAGAGGCCTTCACTTCAGCCTAAAAACAGGGTAGAACAAGAACAAGGCAAAATCTTAAAGTTTCCTTCCGAAGTACAGCAGAAGAGCAGTAGAATAGGTCTACAAGAAAAAAAGGGCGTAGTAAGCAAACCTTTTCTTTGGCGTACTTGTCTCGTACAGATTGAAACCAATGAAGTGAGTCAAATTCATGATACTGATCTAACAGCTTTAAAATGTACGCAACACCTGTAGGAGGGATATAATACTTGACAATTAAAAAGAAACTTACGTAAGTCCAGAATTAATTCAGCAGATAAAGAAATGTGGCTGAAGGTGAAATAGGTCTTGACGTCATTACGTTGCTACGACAACTCCGATGCCAATGTAACTCCGGTGCTAACAAATTCTAATCTTTACGCATAGCAAAGCTTTAGTCACCATTTGCCGATATCTTTGTTTAAGTGACGAAGTTAAACCTCACTCAGCGACCTGTTTGAGAGGTCTGGGGGTGGGGCGGGGTTCGAATAGATTTCAAGACTTGAGACTTTTCTTTCGTCGGTGCTAATGACACGCGACAAACAGTAATTGCTTCTGTTTGAAATTGAATATGTACAAGACTCTTACCCATCACAAATCCATCGTCAGTGAAAGCAGCTCCAACTTTGTTTTTCTTGTTTAGTTTTTCCTTGCAGCTCAACATGTACTCCACAAAGTTTAGAGTCTAACATCAACAGACACTTGTATCAACGTCTAATGTGAACTTTTGAGGTCACTTTTTCAAACTATAGCTACAGTCATAAACAGAACGGTAGCGTGCCAAACGAACAATTACTGTGAAGTCTAAGCAAAATCAAGCAGTGGGAAGATCTAGAAAATGCGCGAATCAACAAACAATTCAAGCTTAGGGTGACGTCATTTGGCTACAAACGACCATAATTCATTTCGTCTGCCCTTTTCTTATTCAAATTTATAAATACCAGTATACCACTGAGGTTAAAACAGTAAGAGCCCCTATATACACAAGAAAACTGAATCCTCAAGCATTCTGGCGGCTGTAGTAAAATGACGTCATGCATTATCGTACGATTGTCCTTTTACATGCAGGAACGTTTAAAGGATTCTCCGCTGACCACTTACCAGGGGAGGAACGATGACATAAAAGTTCCTTAGGTGCATATTCTTGCTGTCCCTAAATTCAGGCGCGAACACTTCAACGAGAAGCTGCAAATAAATAGAGCAGCGAAGGTAAATTAAATAAAACTTTGTTAACTCAAGGGAGGAAAGAAAGGTATGGTTGCTGATAGAAACTTTATAATATATTACCTTGAAATATTCTGTCGCTCCTGCAAAGTTCTTTGCCAAGTTGTCAATTGCAGCGTCTAAATTTCTAAAAATTAAAGTATAAAGTTATTTCTTGCTGGTGGTCACCAAAAGAAGTTACGAAAGAACATCAGAGAAAACAAACAGACAAGCATACAGATCTGGTGATTAGAGACAGATTTAGAGTTTTGATAAATGGCGTTCGGCAAGAAAGAGGTGACTGCATGGTTAAATTGTTGTTTCCATTGCTTTGGTTCTCGTTGGAAAAACTCACTTCGAGGCCTGCTGTGATTCGTCTGACAAATTTTCCTCCTTTACGAGTTCCTCAAAAGATACGATATCCTCAAGGTCAGGAACGAACCTGTAGACAATGAAGAAGGCACAAGAAGATTTTTAATTTAACGTCTTACTCTAAAAATAACCAGAAGAGCCCTAAGAATATTTCTTGGTTGTACACAAATTGCCTGAGAAAACGGCCGATATTTCGTGACGCTACCCAGGCCTGGACGCTACCACTGGTTTCCCAGCGAAATGACGTTTGAGTAACAAAAGCAGAAGTTCCATACTGATGACGTGTTACTAGTCAGATCTGGGTAGTGTACCTGACTGGCTAAAGCAAGTTTCGCGGCCCAACTAATCAGAAGCAGTACTCAGACCTGGGTAGTGAGACGTCATCAGTATGGAATTTTTGATTTCGTTCCTCAAACGGCATTTCGCTGGGAAACCAGTGGTAGTGTCGGTACGCGTCGCGTGACAATGATAAAATCGTGATATTTCTCAAACACATCTAGGAAACTCCGAAGAAACCTTTGAGTCTTGTTACACTGAAAAATTCAAAATAGCTCATAAACGTTAAACGTGCCTATGTTATTATTACGCAGGCAAAAATAATACTTTGACTAAACGATGTACCTGATTGCGTTACTACAACAGTGAAGTCCTCCAGATCGAATCATACGAATGTAGCCCATGGCATTTCCTTAAAAAACAAAAGAAGCTATGGCTTAGGACTAACCACTTGAGTGGTAACATCGTAGTCGTTACATATATTACAACATACTTAATTATTGATCACTTCATGAGAAACATTCACAACCAAAAGATCACAATGGCAAAAAAAAGAACTTCTACCAACTATTTACATTAAGTAATATCTGGTAGAGGGATAGTAAAATAGAACCAAGATACGTCTTTTCAAGACTTTAGTTCAACCGGTCCAGCTATGTGATCAGTGTGAAACTTGGAAGATCACTTGCCTAGTCCCTCGGCCTCATAAATCCGCGAGGCCAATACATTTCGGGTCTCGTCGTCCGAGCGAGTTGTTGAGGCCTAGCCAAAACTCGGACAAGTGAGACACTTTGCCTCAGTTTGGGCGGAGCTTTGAGTTCGAATTTCAAGAGACGTCAATCTCTCTTCTTTGCGGCTCTCTCGAAAATATGCATGGCGGAGAATTCAAGAAAAGAGGTTCTCCCGGCCGTTCTTCTCGGATACTTCACCGAAATGCATTGACCGCGAAGGCCTGGAAGACGCCGTACATGCAGGGATTGGACGATGCACGATTATCACCAAGACCGATGAACAGAAACTAAATCGTTTCCAGTGCCAGTGCAGGGCCTGAGATGGATAGTGCGTATTAAAGATAAATAGCACTAGAAAGGTAGGAGGTAGAGAAGAATAAACATCAAAAATTTCTCTGAGAAGACCTGTTGAGAAAGAGCGAAACAAGGTGGGGTTGAAGAGCTAGGAAGTAGCCAAAGAGATGGCACCGCACTGATCCGGTAGCGTGGCAAGCGTGATCACCTTATGCCACGCCTACTGGCGGACGTGAATACGACCAAAGCACTGAGAACAATTTTAAGCTATTATAATCCAAAATCAACTTTCTTCAAACCACGACAAATAACTTTCGTACCGTTGTGATTTAGATTTAAGTGTATTTTTCTTCAATACAACCAAAAACCTAGAAAAATTTAAGTCAAAGGATGAACTCCACAAAATTTGCCAAAATAAAAGTTTTTCAAGAAGTAACTTAATTTGTTACCGCGTTTTTTTAAAATTAATATTCTATTTCATGACATAACACTTCAATTACAATCAAGCTTGACAGGTGTTCAAAAGGGAAGGCATGCCCCCTTTCCCAATCTTCCCATTTTCGCGCATCTGATCTCCTTTCTCCGTGCCTTTCATACACCTTCCAGGCAGGTTATTAATAACCATCACAAGTCACGACAGCTTGTTACCTATCTGGCTGATAAGAACCCGAAACTGATCCAAGTAGGTACGGCCATCTGGAGTCAAACCAAGTTTGCGGATTCCCTTATTGAACTTTTCAGCTCTTTCAAATGGATATTTCTGATCAATTTGTGCCTTTGTTTCTTTGAAGAAGCGAATGTCCTGCGAAAAGGTAACAACATGTGAAGACTCAAAGGGAGAACGGTTACAACTGAACATTGACCTCGCACTCACTCTGACTAACCACCAACATAGTCACAATTTCCTCTTATTCCGTCACTTCTGGGACTGCAAGGTTATTATTATAAGAATGACAAGCTTAGTTAAGACAATGGTACACGACAGTCTAACGAATAGGCGCCATCTTGAAATCCCTATCTTGCATTTCATTAATGATAAATGTTACAGTGATATTTAATAGAAAGAATACCTAGAAGCTTACTCGGGAACAAGAGCATAAATTCACACACTCAGGTAATGAGTAAGACCACTTCTGTTCGGATTCAAACAGTTGGCATACAATTCTAATTTCTAATTGGAACGCACCAGTTAGACTAAAAAAGGCGCTTACCACTGGAGAGAGAGAAGTGGTCAGCCAGACCACCCCCAACCCCTCCGTAAAGAGAGTTCGAGTATTTATCAGACTTATTCATCTAGGCCAGTCTATTTTGAAATACTGCAGAGCAGTGTTGGGTTTTAATGACATCTCTCGTAAAACGCCTTTTTCATTTTCAAGATGGCGAGTCTCGCTGGGTAGTTCTGACATTTGGTAAGCACCCTAACTAAGTCACCGACTCAGCCGTCCTAGCAGGGAAAACATGGGTTAAAATCACTGTACAGAGATACTTTGCCAAAAAAAAAGCATGTATTGGGATGGAATAATGTCACATACCTTGATAAGTCTTGCCTTAATATGTTCGTCATAGAGAAACTGTGAAAAAATGAAGAACTTCTTGCGCAGGAATTGATAAGTGAAATTCACAGTTGTATTCATAATTCCTGATCCGTGAGTTCGGATGGAGTTGGCGATATGACGAATGTTAATCGTATTCAAATGCTTGTTATTCGACGCAGTTTCCACGAAGATCTGAGATAAGTAACAAGACAAAGGAAAGTTAAAGTTATCACACTTTGCTTTTAGGGAAGATCTCCTTTAAGCTGTTGATGTTATAGCTACTGCTTTAACTGCCAAGAAACAAAATGCGAAAGAGAATCCCCTGTAGCCGTTTACAAATCATTAATCGATTAACATTTATGAGATATACATTTTCGTACCTGATTGTTAAGATTGTACAAATATCTGGACACGAAAACATGAATGTTTCTCATGATCTCCAACACATCCAAGCCCTGTACAAAGAAATGCAGTTAACCTTGCAGCTGACAAAGAAACCAGTTTCAAGACCACAAGCAAAGATTTGTCAACGAAGCGTTTCAATGAAAAGATAAGGTTATTTTTCATTTCGACCGATAATACTTGAAACGCAAAATTTCATTAAAAAAAAATTAGGTTGCCATATTCACTCCATCCACGACACGCCCATCTAGAAACGATTCGAAATGTACCTCATTCGCTGTTGGAGGGCAAAGTAGGCAGGAGATAACTCAACACGCAAAAGCCACTGGACAAATAGTCAGCAGTAATGGTGTCAGGTGTTCTTGTAGGATTAGCGGCAGTCGGTAGATCGCTGGATTGTAGAGCGGGAGGCTAATGCATTCGTCACAACAATTACAAAGAAAAATAGTAACCACAAAGGAGAGTATTAACAACCTGTTCGAGTGTCTGACTGGGTAAATGAGCTTCAGTCATTTCTAGTCCATACTTTTGTTTTGCCTGGTTTCTCATTTCACCGTAAGTCCTCCAATCATGAAGTGCTACTGTAGTCAGATTATAAAAAGTTGCATCCAGGTAGTGGGTCACGTGTCCTATAGAAAGAATTTCAAATCCATATCAACATTGTGATATACGATTTGTACAATAAAATAGGCGGGTTGGAGAGTACTACAAAAACCAAAAGAACGTTTTATTTCTTATAGGCAGTACAGCGGAATGACTCTCTTGTTTCATTTTTGATGGAATAAATAACGTGCACAATAACGTCTAATAAACAAGAGAATGGAGCCCAAAACAGTTTTCATGGCTTACATCTGTTGTTCACCGGTTTAGCTCATCGATAATACAAAATGCATTTTTTGGCATGATTATTGCAAATGGCAAAGGAAAAGAAGTCAACTGCAACATAAATTCATCTGACAGAGTTAAAAAGTATTGAAGAAAATGAATAGCAAAACTTACGCTTGATGTTAACGAACTGGTGAAAAAATCGGATTGGCCTTATTTTCAAAAACTGCGCGAGATCTCTCATTCCAACCTGTGAATTGAACAATGAGGAGAAAGGATACGTTGTATACAAAACTTCTGCAATTTATAAGAGGTAGAGTGGCGAAGCGCAAAAAATGCATACAAGAAGGGCAATGAGTAGCGATCAAGAAGAGGAAATGAATCTTTATAATTACGTGTAGCAGCACAACGTACCCCTACAATAAAATATTACTACTAGCAAGACGTCCAGCAAGCGATTTAGATCAAAGTCACATCATATGCATAGGACAACCAACTAACAAAATACAAACCTTGAAAGGATTTCGATCATCCAACTGCAGATGCTGGTGTATGTGAAGACGCAGATCTGTTTCAATATCCCGACAGAGCGGTTGCAGCAAGTGCTGAAAAAGGTGTTTTAAAAGGCAAAATTTACATTAAGGCAAGCTTTGTTAAGTGATGGATAATAATATTATTTGAGACCGTGCCACGTAACTGTCTCTTAGGGGGGGTTGGGGGTACCAAGAGCTTGTTTTGGGATAATCGCCGCTTCATGTAGTGTTTCAACATACTTAGCTCCTGTTTTGTTAAACGTATTTGATAATGTGTCACTTATCCCCCCAACAGCAGAGACTGTCTGTTTCCTCTACTAACTTCAGTAGTGTTTGTATATAAACTTACTTCATGTAGCGTGTCGCTAATCTCCTTCTCAAACGTGTCTAACATGACTTGAGGGGATTCCTCGTGTTTGACTTGCTGAAGGACTGGGACACAGTCTCCAAGAGCGCTAATCATATACTGAAATAAATTAGGAAGGGAAGATATAAACCAAGGACCTACAGCCTATCCTGTAATCAGTGGTCAATGGAATAGAGGCCTAATATTACATCATGTATGGTTCAAAATAACAAAGACCACAAAACATTCGGTTTTTGATGAAAAAGCTATAGGGACACCAAAGAAGGTTGCAAAGCTGAAAATCAGTTTTTTTAACTGGAATAAAAATGCAACATTGACAAAATAAAATTACGGCTTATCATCCATGGCAAAGTAGCTTACATGAATTCGATGAACATCGGTTGCACTCTCATACAAGTCATCCAAATAAATTGGAAACACCACCTACATAAATAGCGTGGGACATAACAAGAAATAGTAAAATAAATAAGTAAATAGATATGTGAAACTTTCATAACAATTAAACGAATTTCATCTACACAATGCAGTTGCTGCAAAGCAACAATAGCTAGCTTAACGAGACAAAAAGAAGGAAATAAGCTTGCTCTACTGCATTAGCCAACTTGAGACACGTGGAAACTGAGGGGAGTAGGCTGAGCTGGGCCAGTGGTGAGAGCACTTGCCTGCCAACAATGTGGCCTGCCATGTCAACACCATAATTTATGTGTTTGAGTTTGTTGTTGGTTCTTATCAGAAAGAGCCATCAAGTGGAAATTCTACCACTTAATCATTACTGAACTAATGCTCCTCCTTACGTCTTTCATAGAAAACTTTTGTCAGGTTCTAATTTAGATAAATATCTGTGTTCTTGAGGCAAAACGAAAAATTCAAAGGCCAAAAAAGTTGCTACCAGCCACACTGAACGCAAAACTAACAAACTGGCTGTTTATCTCTACAGTTCTCTACATTCAACACACCCTGTGCCAGTGAAGAAAGCCACAGTCACAAGCTTTCTTGACCCGTGCTCTAAGGTCACTGATGAGATTAATTCTCTTCATGACACCTGTTAGACTTGTCATCTCTTCATCACGTAGCAACTTCTGTTTTTAAAGGAAAAAAAATCATTAAAATCAATTGTTAATCAGATGTGCATGTTTAAATCGTATTAAGGTCTTTTTTGAGAAGGAATGAAAATAGTTACACAACAGTGCAAAGTGCAACAAATTTTCCATACCATTTTGATTGTACAATAACTGAAAAATACTCTGTTACAGTCAGGCATTCACAAAGTGAGGAAAGCACAAAGTGAATGGAGCAGGACACGTCTATGAATCTGCTGTTCACAAGAATAACAAATGAAGCACACTTACAAACTGTGTTCCTACATGGAGTCCCAGTTGTGTGACAAGCCTACGTTCCTTTGTAGCTAGAAAAGATAGGTAACATTTGTTGGTTATCAACATAGTATATTTGAAATGACTGCACTAGCACCCCGGGTGTTATTATTTCCCAGTTCTTCTGGAGCAGTAGCCATATATTTATTTTATAATAATTTTACACTATCATTATTATCACTAGCAGTAAACAGCCATTCTTTTACAATACAAAATACAGTGAGGCCAAAAATAAATTATTTATTACCTGCAGGAATCTCTTTAAATGTGCATAGTAATACATACACTTCAATGGCATCTTAACATCATGTATGGGCCAACTTATATGTAACAGCGTCATTAAATTTTACCTGGACCATTAAGAGCATTCTGAACCAAAACAAGAGCTGCCAGCACATCCTAAATTTAGAAAACAAGAGACAAACATCTGTTTAACAACACAAAACACTTAATCATTTGACTCTTTAAGTTGAGAAAAAAAGAAAACCTTACCAGCCTTTTGATCATTGTACATTATTTCAAACTTAATGAAATTGTGTAAGTTACACTCTAGTCATAGCAACTTATGCAAAACATTAAACTTACAAGTCGCTTGTCTGTATACTTTTTGTCTGCTGCGATACGTTTCTACAAAGCAAAATAGTGCCAAGTATAAAAACAATATATCAGCACTAAAACGACGCGGTGGATGACAATCTTTACAACAGATAAATGTTGAACAGCAAAAGGAAACAATTTTATTCATGACTCTTATCTTGACAAACAATTTCTGGGATCCTTGAAATCACGTCAAAAATGTGTTTAGCACAACACTGTCACACATGGTTACAGCAGCAGCACTTTACCTTGGCAGTGTCAATACAAGCTAGTGCCATGAAAGTCAAATGCTGGAGCATGTGACTGACACTTTCTGCTATAAGCATGCTACGCCGATGAAATGTGTGTTCGATGGCCTAGTGACAATAAAAGAATATTATAAGTGGAATACGATCGCCCAGGTGAGCATAGTCCTGAATAGGAATATTGCTGACAGTGACTTAACAACCTACAGGGCAGTAGTCATTTAAGAGTCAAAGAGTGAAAATGTGAGGAAAAGTCAGTAACAGAATACCAGTGATGGAAAGGCTACACAAGACTTGAAGGAGCTAAATCATAACTTCTGCAATTGTTCTAGTTTGTCATTATTTTGAAATTTATGGTACTGAATGTTCTCAATAATTGTTTAATCATGGGCTTAAATCTATCTACTGCAAATTGTTTGGAATTAATTGGGAGGTTTAAAAAGTCAGTGGTAAAACAACAGTATTTTACTAGTGGTAACTAAACTGCCCCTCTCTAATTTGATCAGGCGCTTTCACAGCAGGCTATTTGACAGCCAATCTTGACCTTAAGTGGCCTCACTGGATTTTGCTTGTGGTTAGTGGCTTACTAGGGTATTGTAACATTGTGGCTTCCTCTACCAAATATTTTAACCCTTTTTTACCTTGAGAAGTTCCGTCAGTCTGCACAATGCAAGTACAGCAGCCTTTGTAAGTGGCTTGGACAACACAAGATGCATGTTCATGACAGTGCGCACTAAATGACTCACTGTATGAGCAATAAGAATACCCTGAAAACAATTTTCATAGCTTTAAATCTACGAGTTTAGATTAAAAATACAGTATTGTATAATGCAATTTAAGAGTTTTTGTTAGCTATCATGGTATAAAATGTAATCCAAGTATGCTCAGTGTACATGTCAGTTTAAGATATATGAAAGTGAACTGACAGCTGACACCTCTGGAACTGGCACTAAGTGTCCATCCATCTCACAGAGAGTTGAATAAAAGGGTTAAGGAGGGGTAAAGTTACGTTTACTGGGGTGTCTGTTAAGAGAGAGTAGAATATATTCAAATTAACATGACAGGGTTATTAAAATATCTGAACTGGTTGTAAAACCAATAACGGCTATCAACGATCATGGACAAGGATTTCAACTCGTAGCAGTTAGGGAAGGACTTGAACTAAGACCAGCCACTTCACCATGCAGTCTCATTTTAAGAAGAACTCTCCTTACATTAAGTATTAAGAGTTACCTTAATGAATAGCACACAGCGAGTATTGAGATCATCAACAAGAGAACCTCCTTTACTCAAAGATGACTCCATATTAACCATCCATGAACTGACCTGCATTTGATAAATCTGAGCATCCCTGGTTAATAAAACAATAACAGAACATCAAATTCAAGCATGTTTATGGATAAAAAAATGCCGTGAAAATTAAACATTTACTAGAACATACATTAAGTCAAGCAAGTAGTGCTTTTATTAAGCAAATGCATAATGCTGTAATAATATAAAATGCATTTGAAGTCAATTGGATCCTTACCTGACCAGATTTTGGTTACAGAAAGTCAAATACTGTTCTTTGGAGGTTTCTGCTGCAACCTTTTGTTTCTTATCAACAACTTTGTTTAGAAGAGGAATTTTGCGCAAGAGAAACTCATTTGGAAAGAACATGATATCTCCAGCAAGGTGGACAGAAGGTACCTTAAATAAAAATGTTTCAAAATCATGATAAGTCGTGCAAACTAGGTTGCCTTATAAAATTTGTTCATTCAATCAATAATGTTGACATTCCCTGGACACTGAGGCACTCAGTTATGAGAACAAAAACAAGACACCCATAATAATAGATGCACATTCGGCTGTATAATGCAGTGGTCTAATATCTTCCATGCACAGTCTAGGCCACAACTCCCCCTAGAGCTACAGATGACATTAATTTTTTTATGAAGAAGTAGTTTACGCGATTTCCTAACAGAGGTCATTATCTGTAATGTCAATTTCTGAAGAAAGAATTATCATGATCAGTTGGGTGAATAAATTTCTGAATCATGTATATACTTGTAGCATGATTTGGAAGATCTCTTCCCCCTGTACAAGTAATTAGATAACAAAGTTGTTGACTTTTAAAACTGAAGGCATCACAACTGCCACAAAGGAATTGGATCCACACGGGCAGTTATGGGTCGTACAGGGAAGCATGGTTAATGTAAATTAGAGCATGAGTTCCTTTATTGGTTGGACCATAAAAAGGAAACCATTCATTAGATTTGAAAAAAGAACTATTGATGAAATTGGCTTGTAATTATCAAAGACAGGGTAAATGACCCAACATCATCCCAATGTGTCACATATTGGGAAACATGATGGAGTGGAAATTGTGAAGCCTCTATTTAAGTTTTAATAAATACCTTTTTGTGAATGTCCCACAACTTGCTAAAGAATTTTTTATCAACGCCTCCATAGATCTGAAAGTGCAAGACAAATAATCCAAGCAAACCAACAACTTTCTGTCTCTGATCCACCTCATGAGGTTCATCTGAGATTTACAAGAGAGAAGTTTGGATGAACATTACATTGAGTAATATTGTAAATTACTGATCACCATCTTATGGTTAAAATCATAGTAATTAATGGGTAGAGTAGTCTAATCATGTACACGTAATATGCTGCAGGAATGTCAATGGTGCATTATTAATATTATAATTATGAACATACTCATCCTTGTGTCAAGACTTTGAAAAATGAGTCTGATGTTGTACAGGAACTCCTCAGCAAAATCACCGTTTCGTGCGACTCCCACAACTTGAGTATCAAATGGCTGCTCAATACAGTTCTGAAAAACAATAGACATGATAATTATAATAAAAATAAAAATAATGATAAAAAAAAATAATATTTAATAATAATCATAGTCAGTTTAGTCGGTGAAGTCAGTGTACTTGTTGTATTAATTGGTGTAGTCAGTATAGTGCAGTTAGTGTAGTCAGTGTAGTAAGTGTAGTTAGTGTAGTCAGTGTAACTGGTGTCAGTAGTCAGGGTAGTTAGTAAGTCCAGTGCACTTCACATCTCACTATAAAGCACCTAAGCACTACATAGGCATGTCCCCCTTCCCCTACCAACTGTATGAAATAGTCAGTTAAACCTGCAAAATCACACCATCAAGGAGTTGTCCTTCTAAACTCATCAGGAGTTTCTCAAGAGGTCGCAGCTTTTCCTCTTCTACACCAAACAACGCAGTGTTACTATAAATTGATTTGATCATCCTGAAACAGAGGAAAATTAATAATTAATTTTGTTTTTCTAAACTCCAGCCTGTAGCAGAGAAACATTCCAGTTGACTTGAGGTTTAGGAGAAAGGGATCAGTGGATTCATTTGTAGTTTATAATGTAAGTCACGCAGGGCTCATACAGATTTTGATCCAAAATTCAAGACTTTTTCCAGACTTCATCAAATAGGTGATCAACAGAGACCTTTAAAAAATGCAGGAACAAAGCTCTTTCCATGATGACCAAAATTTAACAATACCTACAGTATTAATGTTTTAAGAAACCCTCATGATAGTTGGACAAAAGCATATTTCATATAATAACCCCAGTAATTTTTTCAATAAATATTAAGTACCGTCTGTATTGTCTCCAGTGTTCCTTAAGAGTATGGCTGGCATCAATAATTTCATCTAAAGTTATTAACACCCCAAGAAGACTGGCTAGATGTTCAAACACAGTCTGAAACACAGGAAGAATAGTCATAAATAGGGCAGGGCCTCTGACATTATGTAATAGTGCAACCTTACACAATTATAAATTGTTTCAAAATTGCATCAGTTGATATATACCCCCAAAATATGTTAATTTAAACCCAGTCACCCCTCACTGCCTGCAACCACTCAGGCATGTGGATCAGTTTAATAATTAGTTGCAGCTATGACTAATAATTAGTCATAGCCACAACTTTTATGCCTGCTTTATGTTACATATTTTCACAGGACTTAACTACCGCAATTTTCTGTAGTGATATTCAAAAACTTTTTAAAAAATGAAGTGAGAAGTTGTACATGTCGCTAACCCTAACCCTACATGTCCATATTCTATACTGGAAATTAATACCAGATGTTAGACGTTTGTGTGGGTAGCTAGAACTCTGAAACATTTTCCCTCTGAATCATTGTGACATCCTATTCTAACCACATGACATGTGCTTGTTCATAACCATTTATTAAATTGCTATCAATCTCTACATCCTTCATGGAATTCGTATAGATACATCACAGCTCACTTTCCTACTTTCCCACCAAATGCAAAAAAAAGGGGAAAGAAAAAAAGTAATTTGTACTTACAGTAAAATGAACTCCACTTACATCCATTACCTTGGGGCCTTCTCTACAAAACCACAATAACTTTAATCAGAAGGTTAATAATTAAATACTCCGTCCCAATGAGTTATTAGTTACTGATCATAGATTTTTGTTAGGAAAGAGGAAGTGAAGGTATAAGGAAAAAGGAAAGCACGTGCTCTGCTGACCCTGTGAAATGCAGGGTGCCCGGGTTCAGACCCTGTGAAATGCAGGGTGCCCAGGCCTATGAAATGAAGGGTGCCCAGGTTCAGTTAAGAGGCCCTCTTAGGGGGTTACATAATGGGTCTCTAGTCTGGATTTCAAAGCCTGTTGTTTCACATAATTTTTTTTTTTGCAGAGGAAGTCATGTCGCTGTTGGTATTTCACTATTGTGTTTGCACTTTTCTCTTTTTGTGTCATTTGTTGTCACTTCTGCTGTCCTATGTTATTGTTTCAAGGTTATGTCGCTTGACGGAATTTAACTTGAACAGAGCCTCAATTAAGATAAATACTAAAATATTAATTATCACTAAGGTACACAACAAGGACAAATACTTGCATGCACTAGCAGTTAAATAGTGTATACTATCATCACACTGTTTCCTTACTATACTCACTAGTGCACTGCTCCCACTTTAGATGCAGATGCATATTTATTCAAATAACTCTCTCTATATATATTTAAATTAAAGTTGTGTTTATGCTTTGGTTGATGCATTTACCTAGCTTCTAATGTAATGGATTGCATTGATATTGTGTTGCCTTCCTTTATAGTAATATGACCAGTAAGTAATTGTGCACCCATTGTGGGTGGTTCCTCCTCAATCATCTGTAATTGAGTCACGATCAAGTGTGCGATTGCAGGCGTTTCAGGCATCCTATTGACTAGGAATAGTTGACAAATTCAGCTGTCCCTGCCATTAAGAGCTTGTGTGTTTTTTCTTGGTTTAGCATTTAAAACAGTTAGATATTTCATATGACAATAATATTGCCTATAGTCTGTTCCCTGTCAATTCAAGAATTCGTTTGCAAAACCTAAGATTCCCTAGTCCCCTAACAGCACTTTACAGTAAGACATCAACAGCACTGCAGGGTACTGCTATAGCACATCCTTGAAGGACCTCAAATCACATGCATGACGGACACACTATAACCCAGTTTTGTAGAGGTCAAATAACCTCTCAACAAACAACAGTTAACTATGTTAATATAATCACTAATTGTTCTTACTTTGAGTACAACATTGCAAGCTGCTGGATAACATTTTTTACCACTTCATAAGATCGCTTTACAAAATTGGAGAGATCTTGTAGCAAAGATAACACTCGACCAAGGCGTACTTGATTTTCACCTTCTTGAGTCTGTTCCTTGCCAGATCCTTTATTTATCAAAAATAGAATAAACACCCAGCTTACTTGTAAGAAAATTCAAAACCACCAAAAAAATGTAAGTACCCGGTACAGTAATAAGTGAGTGGCCAATGTTACCTGCTTCTTCATAGAGCAGAAGTGGTATAAAGTACTTTGTGGTGGCCTAAAGTAACAGATAAAAAAATACAAGTTATGTAACTACTGCAGACTACAAACTTTTTCTATATGTTCAGCGGATATGAGTGTACTTTAGGGGTGTTACCTGTTCATAGAAGTACTTAAGGATGGAAAAGCACCAATGCATACAAAATATTAGCTTTTTAATGTTGAACCATCTTGGCTTAGTATGTTTCTTCATAAGGCACACACAAGAAACGTTTATTGAAGCAGATGCTATGGATCATTCTATACTTCTGGTTTTAGGACTGTTATACATTGTAAATAATTATTTAGCAAAACTATTAAGAACACAATTTAAAACTACATTATTTAAATGACTAAACTTCACACCTCATGTTTCAACTGATCCATTTCTCGGCATAATGATGCAAAAACCATAACCACTTTGTTGAAAACCTTAATGAGAAATAAGCAAATAATCAGTTGTGCTGGGGTGGTGTTACCTTCAAATGCCACCAATACAAATGTGCAATTTTCAGGTGAATACAAAGCTGACCTTGATTTGAAAAGTGTTAACTCCTTTCTGGCATATTGTAGCTTAGTAATTGCTGCTAGGCTTACAGTAACAATATATTTAAGTCCAAATCGATAGAGTCAGTCCCCATTTGTCGCCAGCTTAAATTAACTTTAAAAAGACTAATCTAAAAAAATGTGCCAGTATACAAGAAAGTAAATTTAGAGCACAGACCTTGTTATCTGTTTTAATAAGTTCCAAGAGCCTTGACTGTTCATAGGGGAGAATCTGGGAAGCAACAGAAAACAACGTTTATATGTAGTAAGTAAGTAAGCTAGTGTGGTTTATTTAGCATATTCTTACAAATAACGGTATTACAATACACTTTACAAAAGTAAATAAAACTTACAATGAGCAAGTACCTGGGACTGGTATACAGTCACTAAAGATGTGCAATGTATATTGTTTAGCACGGACAACTTCTTAGAGAAAGTTATAAATGAAAATTACTTATACATTTGACTTGTACATATCATTTAGTTGATGTATTTTTTCCAAACATTCCAGTTTTTCAGTCCGATGACGCACCGCAATGGTCTCCATTGTTGGACCTCAATGGAAGGGATGAAATGAGACAATGATTCTCATGAAACCTCTAATCAGCTCAGTTCTGACAAACTTCCCTCAAGCTGATTCAAATTAATCTTCTAATGCATTTGTCTGTAACGCAGGTAAACATATAATATACCTGGCTTGATTGATCTATTGATTATGTTTCAAACAAGACTACCCTTGTGTGCCAATCAGCACCTGTGTTTTAATGCATATGCAATTTTAAGGTTGGTGGGGTATGGGAGCAAGCGTTTCCTCTTCTCCCCTTCATTCCTCCTACTTCCACTTTCTCTCAAACATTTACCCAATAACTTGAGCGGAGCAATAATTATTGGTATGCAGGCTACTTCTGAAGTGGCCTACCTTTTTCCCTATAATTCTTTCTTTTTTCCCCCCTTCCTCTTCCCCCTTTTGCCCTTCCGCCCCTTCTTATCTAGCCTGTTCCTGATGTTTAGATGGTGGGGAGTGAGTGAGTTAAATCTTATGCAGGGAACGAGGGAAAAAACGAGGGGAGACTGGGTCGAGAGCAAGGAAACACGTTTCGTCCCCTTTTTCACCCTGGTCTCCTGTCTTTTTTTTCCCCTCGTCAATTTTTCACCCGCGCCCCACCATCTGAATGCCTGGAACTGGCTACTTCTTATCCAACCTCCACTTCCAAGGATTTTGTCTCTATTGCAAAGACCTTGCTTTATATGCATATCAAGGTACAACAAACTAGAAGCTATCCTAATCTTGTCATCAGTGGACAACATACTTGCAGAGCAATGGGATCCAACGTGAAATCCCAGGAGTCTCCCACAGAATCATCCAGGGCATCTTCAATAGCTTTCAACTGAGAAGCATATTCCTCCAAAAATTGCCCATACTTCCTCAACTGTGCCTCTCCGACGATTTCTACAAACGTTTAAGATTTGATTAGCGATGAGTTAAAAGTTATCCTCCAGTTTAAGCGTGGCACTAACTCACTCAAAGAACCGTCGTCAAAAGCATCAAGGTGCCATCCTTCCTCCATCTTGAAATCATCACGTGATAATGACCTTCCAGTTTTATGCAGGGGAGGGACAGAAATTAAAATATTACTCCAGTTTTTCGAAAAGGCTTTATTTTCAGGAGAAAAAAGTATCTAAATTCCAGTCCATAAAGAAACGTTATCCTTTGAAATCGCAAATAAGTTAACAGAGATAATTATATTTGACAGATTTAAAAAGGACCTCCCTCACGAGGCTTACTTGGTTCATTTTGCAATTGCCTGGTTACTAAGCATATTTTGAAAATGGCCGCTCGCAATAGAAAAAAAAGAAAAATTGAAGATAATGAAACTGGAGTCCCGTTTGCGTGTGGATTTCATCGTCCAACTCCAAAGCAAAGCCGAAAAGCGATAGGGGTATTTCCTATTCCTACAATTTTAGAGCCTGGACCAGAAAACTTGCATTTTCGAGAAATTCCAAGCCCTAAATGTGAAGATGATTGGTTAGCTCAGTATAACGAGGAAGGACAGTCATTTAAATACTTTTTGAAAACAAACCCTTGGATCTCAGGAAGAAGAGTAAAGTATGCAAAGCAAAAATTCATCCCAGATGGTAAAAATCTAAAAGAGAGATACCCAGATGGAAAAATTTATGTACAGCCTCTAGGAGATTTTGATGACGGTAACAATTCAGACTGTTCACCTTGCATTCATGATCTAGCAGACTACACAGAACGCTTTTATGCGTTACCTGTCGTTGTTTTACCAGAAATGAAGCTTAAGATCCCTACAAAGAAAGGTAAATGTGCATGCACCTTGATACTTACTGGAGGGCTAGAGATGAGATAAATGGGGGCTAGCTGAAATGAGTTGTGGGCTAGTACATGCTAGCTACAGCTTGCCCAAATGGCAGGCTGTAAAACTGACTTTCTTTGCACCCTGATTGTGCAAGATATATAAGAACAACAACAAAGTCCTTATCATAGACATAACAGCAACTGGTAATGGGAATGGTGAAAGCAAAGAGAGAGAGAATCAGGAAACATATCACGAAATTGCTGGGCCAAAAACATAGTGTATCTTGGCTTTGGAGAACTGCACTAATGCTAAAAGTATATCTATATATTATGAAAACTACCCTATAATAATTACACAAAAATCAACTTAAAATGTACATTATATAACTAAAATATGTTCTATCACAACTCCCTCAAGGCAAACCCCCGTTCAAGGCAAAGACAGGGCAGACTTAAAAGAGTTGAGATTTATCTCATCTTTAAGCACATTTTCTAAGCCATTCCACATGACTGCTCCCCTATAGCTAAAAGCCCGCTTAGCAGCTTCAGTATAGTGCCTAGGTACAAAAACATTGTTCGAGGCACCTCGTACATCGTAGGAATGAATCCTGGAGGTTGGTTCGAACACGTTCTTTAAACTCTCAGGGCAAAGGTTATTCAGACATTAATAACTGGTACGTAATGAATCGACCAGTTTATGTTACAGCTTTCCCTCCACTCAAATTGATAGCTGTCTCATTTCATAAAAAATAATTCGTCTTCCACAGTCACCTCCAAAATCACATCTGTTGGACTGTTACACAATATTAGATTTCTCCCTATAGTTAGTAATATATTAGTTGTCGTTTTCAGGAACTATATACCAACTTTATATACCTGTTACCCAGTAATTATTTATTTCAATTTTTATTAGGCAGTGTCATATGCTGGCAAGATGACCCATCAGAAGAAACAAACACTAGAAAAAGTTCTAGAGTGCTCTCAAAACAGCGGGAACTGAACCACCGTTTGTCTCATGGTACACTAAAAATTAGTTAATAAGTCAGTATATAATAAATTTAGTCAGTAACCTTTTAAGTCCCAATTTCTGCGTATCAATTCTCCAGACTGATCTTCATACAGTTTACCAAGAATACAGAAGTTGAGAGAATTGGCCACAACATCAATAAAAACTCAAATAACCATTACCCTTGATTTTGTTTAGGTCACATACAGCTGAAAGTGGACAGTATCCATGCTCTCCTCAGAAAGCTGATTCCTGATGATGCTCTTTGTCTGATTGGTTTGACCATGGCAGATCCCTATGAGGATGATAGTGATTTGTTTGTGGCAGGACTTGCAGCTGGAAACCAAAGAGTAGCTGTAGGTATAAGAGGGTGGGTGAATAGGGGTATGCAAAACTGCCGATCTGTTATGATTTATTAACCAAATTCGCCAATAAAATTTTGCCCTGAATTCGAAATCTGGGCAAAAATATTTTTATTACAAGCAAAGTCCAAAATCCGGGTCCAGTCCGCAGCAATTGCAAAAATCTGCATACAAGGCAAAAATATTTTCAAAATCTGCCGATCCATTGGCCTATTCGCCCCCCACGTATGCTAATAACAATATTATTGAATGTGGCTGAGTATGATCTGACAAAATTATACAATTTGAGGAAGGAGTGTGTTATTGGCCTCAGCAAATAACACACTCTGAGATCAGCATAATTCTTTACATCATACGAATGTCGAATCAATGATTGTTGTGTTATTCATTTAGAAAAACTATTACTTTAAAAACACACGTACCTCTATCAGTGTTAATGGTCCCTCTTCATTTGCCTGTTCCTGGGCAAATTATACATTTATGTATAAACTAAGATGCTTCTAATATTTCTGTGTAGGCACAATCAATGCTAAAATGACAAGTCATGTACAAATTGGTAATGTGGTTCAAAATGACATAATTTTATATCTACATCATCTCTAATTTAATCGTCAAGGATTCTTTATAATAATAATAATGGAATTTATATAGCGCTTATACATCGCTGTTCTAAGCGCTTAAAAAACAGTTACCAATGTTTTTATTTTACGGTGATCATAATATCATCTCTTTTATTTTACAAATATTTCTAAGGTGTTTAGCTTTGCAAGATATAATCCATGTTTGGAATTTTCCACTGAACACTGGTACAGCATCTGGCCTTCCAAACAAATTGATCTAAAAACGAAGAGACAAATGGTTTTGCAGGTAGCACACTTCATGTTTTAGATTATTAGTAATAAGATTGTTTACATTACAACTGCCCCCACTGTGAAGCTTAGTTCCATCATGTTCCATCTCTGGCACAGGTTACTTCCTGAGCAATAAGTACAAAAACAAGCTATTCTCAATGAAGCGCAAGTGTGCTGCCTACCAAAAAATTTTTTCATAGAGCTAACATACCTTTTTATTGTCTGTCTATAGCGAAGCTGTAAGCTGTTGGTGCATGAAATTGCTCACTTGTTAGGGATGGATCACTGTATTTGGTATTTATGCTGTATGAATGGTTCAGGACATCTCAGTGAAGATTTTGGTACGTAAAAGTGTTATTTACTCTGAACTTTCTGCCATTATGATTGACAGACTCTTGACAGTCATCTCTCTTAGGTGGGAATTCCCACCTTGACTTTTCCCCTGCCATTCTTCAGTCATTTTTTATATACAAATAAAGATACGCTCTCCATGAGCAGAGTGTTACTGTTATTAATTTTTTTCCAACAGCTCAACCAATCTACCTTTGTCCTGTTGATTTACACAAGTTACAACACCTTTGCGGTTTTGATATTGTTGACAGATACAGACAGGTACTTTCTTGGTTATTATTTCTGTTTATATCTTTTGAGTGTCACCTTAAACGTGAAACTGTGCTAGCATGGCCTCTTATTAATTTTGACGTGTTATTGATATTTTTGTATACTTTATTATGCTACTATACTGGACTGTGAAGAACAGTTTTTTCTGAGCTGGTACTATTTTTTACTATAATATCCCCGGGTCTTCTCTTAGAACTATTGTATGAGGCCCACAAGGAGAGATTGAAACAGGATGTCCCACATTCTTTTGACTGAGTTTTTTGTTTTGTTCTTAAGCTTTTGGAATTCTTCAAAAGACATGATATGAAAGAAGAGGCAGAGTGGTATCAGTCAAGACTTGAGTTCATTGATAATGAAAGTTAAAGACTGCGGAGTTCTAACCCTGAGTAGAAGTTGTATCAGCTACAGCTCTGATAGCTGTCCAAATAACAGGCACTGACATCTTGTAAATACTGAGAAATCATCCCCTGTATTTGATAAAAGAAAACAAATTGAAAGAGCGAGCTATTTTTTTTCTTTATAACGAACGCGCTAAACGCCATCTACAACTCTCACTTGCCTGACTTGATTCCGATTGAGTTCAGTTAATTCAACAGCATTACTTATCCGTTAGCCGGAGGGTCCACTTACGTCTTCGTGCGTAAATATGAAATACTCATAATCTTAAAGTCCCTAAAATTTCAATTTAAAAGATACGCCGCGCTTGAAAGGACGTCTAGAATAGGCTTCTAAAGTTCAAGTACGTCTCTGCAAAAGTCCGTCACTTCGGCTGTACTAATGAATCTGTAAGTAATTATCATTATTTTGTTTATATTATTGACTTTTCCTTTCATGTGCAAAACTTAGGGATTGTGAGAGATTTCAGTGCTAATCATTATGTTAATCGAGCAGTCACATATTTGTGATTGTTATGTGATAGGTATGACATTTATAAATACTCTGAAGACTTATTCATGATGATAACCGAAGGTACTAATTATACTTTAAATAGGAAATAAGGATATCGCCATGAATCCCTCGTTAATAAAAAATAACAGTATTCAAATTAAGATGCACTTTAATAATCCGCGATCCTAGTACTATATACGGTTGCCCTCCATACTCAGGACACACAAAACTACAAATCTTTTATCCGTCGAACATAATCTTTTACAGGCAAGCGCAGCGGCAACATTTTTTGTCAGCTCGCAAAAAAACCTGCTGCTGTTTACCAATCTTGTTAAGAGAACAGCCAAGGATAATTTTGTCAGGTATAAATTTTACTCCTTTCTCTTAAGGGGACTTCCAATATGCACAAATTGCGACTATGCGTTTAACTCACTTGAACTTCTGATTGTCACAGTTCATGTTACATGTAGCTGTACAAAAACTTAAGGGACGTTTTGTTTTTTTACCAAAACTATCATAGGACCTATTTTGTTAACAATAATCGTTATATCTTGGTACTGATAACATTTGAAAAACACAAGGAGGACTCCGAATATCTCAGACGACTGCAACTGTTATCCAGAAAGTTTTAGCCTTTCTCAAGCTTTAGAAAGTTAGGCAAAGTTCGCGCCTTCAAACTGTTGTTTCATAGAACAAAGTCGTTGGATTCCCCTGATTATAGAAATTCTTAATTTGGAGTGAAAGTAAAAAAAAATGCGGATGAAATCTCTATCTCGTGGACACGTTAATTTTGCGAATAGCAACTTAATTTCGTTGAAAATGTTTAAATATTATGATGTGATTCGCTTACATTCCATGTTGACTATACCGAGCCTGGTTTCAAAAATTAAGGAGAGGACGTTATTTAATGTACAGACAACTTTGTTTCCGTCAAACCCTTAAGCTTTTGTCGCAATATGAATATTTAACGATAATGTCATTTTCAAGTTAAAAGAAAGAGATTGAAACTAGCGTATACAGTTTTTAAAACATGGGGTTTTTAAAACAATAAAATAGACACAATGTGTTGGTGACAAAACCTGCTAAGAGAACAAAAGCCTTAATCAGCACAATCAGAATAGAATAAATTTAAATATCTTAATACTCTGCGCTATGCATGCAAATAACTTCACACAAAACGAGTGAGGCTGTTTGGATAGACTTAGAGTTGTGTCTTTTACAAAATGCTTCTCGAACATGACACTTTCAGATGTGTCCTAAATTTTCTGTAAGACCTCGATTCATCTTCAATATCCATTGTGTTTCTTCTTAACTTTATTTCTTTGATTAGATCGCTTGTATTCTTCGATTCATTAATGAAGTGATGTAAAGGTGGCATAATTAATGTGCTGCTTTCCTGCGTCCAATAATCAAGTCCTTTGCTGTCTTTAATAGTTTCAGATTTACTCAAATCTTTTATTCCCTTTTCATCGTCGTCTTATCACTTCCATGTTTTTTCCACGACTTTCGGTAGCGTTCTTTCCTTCGAGTTAACATAACTGAGCCAAGTCTTAAAGCGGAGCTCCCGCAAAAGACCGACCTTTTACTGGAAACAAACTTGCAAGTGACCATCGCAAAAAATAATAATATAAATAAATTACAATCTACTTAAGTTTAATTTTGTATATATTATCCTCTCAACTTGAATTGCCACGTGATAACCTTATTCTTACTTTTCACTTTTGTGCAGAGAACACAAGGAAATGCGGTGTACATCACAACATTTCATTACAAAATAGGCTTCACATAATATTTTTGTAAAAATCCATGATCAACATAGGTAATCAAATCATTAAACTGATGTAAGTACTGTTACTTGACGTTAAGGAAAAGTTGCTTGAGTAGATCTTTTAATTTCGTTGATGGTTCCAAGTATTAAACGAATTCTCTTCCCTTTTACAGCCAGTCTTCATTGCAGATAAACAAAGCGAGGCTGTCTGTTGGCAATCGAGCTGCTCTTAGAAGCCATGGTATCTGGATCAGACGCGGAGATCGCAATAGCCACAATTCAGTGTTTACTTCTCATTTTGAATGTCGCTGGGAATTCCCTAGTATGTGCCATTATAAGGAACAATTCAGAGATGAGGTAAGCCGGAGAACTGCAATTTAGTCTGGCAATAGAAATAAGCTGAGTTTTGTAATAACTCGCATGACGTGCTCCGTTCTGTTTTGTGCCCATATTACTTCAAGAAATTCTCAGATAAGACGGACTTGACACTCCACGGAGTCGGGACTCATTGATATGCTACTTAAGACCTCAAACTTACTGCTTGACGTAAAATTAAAGACTGCGATCGACCTTTGGTTGATTTCCCTGTGTTTCAAATCACTAAGCAATGGGAGAAGTTGATTTTTTTGTGTTCTGTCCGCGGTTTTCAAAATCCAGCTTTATTTATTTGCTTTTATTTGTGATTTTTTAATGAATTGTCTTTCATGCAATTCTAAAAAACATTCACTGCGTCTACAGAACGCCGATCAATTACCTTCTATTAAATCTGGCTGCCGCAGATATGATCTTGGCGATATTTTTCGTACCACCATATATATTGATTCACACGTTCACTCATCCACATGGAGTACCTGGTACAGTACTATGTAGACTGCTGACCGGTGGAGTCTTAGCCTGGATTGGAGCCGCCGCCTCGGTATTTACTTTGGTTGTCATAGCAATTGAACGCTATTCTGCCGTGCTGCATCCCCTCGAAAGTAAAGGAAAACTCACTTACCGTAAACTTAAGGTGCGTTTAACTTCATATGCCAAAGACAAAATTTTCTCGCGGGATTCGGTTTCCGGGACCTGTGGCTGTCGCGTGCATTCAAAATGAGTATATTGTCAATAGACTCTTTGTGTTAATGGAGTAAAGGAATTTTTGTTCCAGAAGAAAATCTTTTAGAAAGTTTTAAAAGTGCTTTTTGACCACTCTTATACTGGTCTCTGTGACTGATTTTATTCTAATTTTCCGAAGAATACATCCTGCCCCTTTACACCCCGCTTGAGCACGCCAAGGGGCGAGGCTGGTGAATACTCAGTTGGTTTACTTGCTGAGGGCCCCGGGTTTGTCTCTAAACTCCTTATGAGTTGGAGGATGGATATAATCTCAGATTTTTTATTTTAGGGAATTATCCCTTGTTCTTGGATATTTGGAGTGATTATGAATATTCCAGCATTCCTGTTTATGAGGTTTGACAAAGACAACTATTGCATGATGATATGGCCTGAAAGATGGATGGGCAAAGCTTATTTTTTGGCATGGTGTTTGCTACTGGCATTTCTCCCAGTCGCTTTGATGGCTGCTCTGTACTCCAGAATCGTGTACTCCTTATGGGTTAACAACGTAGATATTGATGACAACAAAACAAATAGACAACAGGTTTGAAACAATAACTGATATTCGTTATAAGCCGATTCATTTGAAATTACCAATTTTACACGCCATTTTAACTTAATAATTTATTACTTTTGACCGAACTGTTCTTTTGCCTAAAGGAGGAAAACTAAAACAATAAAGTGTAACAGCTATACGAACTCGCATTACTAGCTGCTGTAAATTAATGAAAATCCAGAGCTAATAGTATACTTTCTATATTTTTTCTGTTTATAAAATTTCGCAAAATGAAACTACTTTCCTCGTTTGCATTTCTTTTGTTTTATTTCTCCAAAAGTTGAAGTATTTTTGCAATCTTCTATGTTATCGTGTTAGCGCCTCCATGTAAAGGTCCCCTTCCTGGTAAGCTCCTCGAAAGGACATAAATATGAGTTCCCAGGAGATGATTACTTTCAAAATTTCAAGAATTTTACTTTATCTTACTTATATTCACAGCGAACATTTCAATTCTTTACAGGCTAAGATGCGAATGCGGAAGAAAGTGACCATGATTGCCATTACTGTAAGCGTCATTTTTGGAGTTTGTTGGTTGGTTGACTCCATTAACTACACTATGTATTATTTCTTTCCATCGCACGCATTTCTGTCCTATGCAGCATCGTCCATAATGCTCTTATTCAATTCTGCGGTCAATCCGATTGTTTATGCTCTGGTCAACCAGAAATTCAGACGAAAATTCAAAGCAATGCTGTGTTTCCCACAAAGGATACACCACCAACAGGCTACAGCTGACGCTTCCATCCCAGCAGCCAGCGCGGGAGGAGAAAAGACTGAATAGTGTAACGAACCAAAATCTTGAGGTTTAGACCGTGTCCGTAAATTTGTGAACAACTTAGAGAAGTTTTGCTTAGCTGGTTATGTGAAAGGTTTGAACCCAGGAGTCAATTGTCAGTTCTCCAGTTATGTTCAACTGACTCTACCTTAGGCTTAGGGCCTGTTTACATGGATTGGGGGACCCCGGTCTAGTGGGGTTGGTTTCTTTTGTTTTCTCGCTCTGAGGGACACAAAACAAAAGAAACCTACCCCACTAGACCGGGGTCCCCCACTCCATGTAAACAGGGTCTTAGTTTAACAATACTTCAATCGCCTGCAACTTCTCACCTTAGTGAAAGTGAGTTGTCGAGGCCAAACAAAACAAGTGTCTTCGTCAGGTGGTAATCCTCAGCGTTTTAGACAAAGTAGACACTACAAAACCTTCTTAAACCACGAAGGAATTTTTTGTCTTTTATCTAAATGTAATAAAGTTGTAGTATCTTACAAAAATTACTTGTGGGTACCCAAACTGCTGACTTATAGTTATGTTTAAGTGTCCGCCTGAAGATTTGAGATTTTCCACCTGTAAATGACAGAGGCTTTATATTACTCCTGTTATCACAAACTATCCTAATTGCTTAAACACAACTGGGGCTTTCAAAGTGGAGTTCAGATACATGCAGCTAAAAGTAGACGTCCATAGGTTTCCGGCTGCTCAAGAATAAAAAGGACTGTTGACTTTCTAGTTGGAGAAACTTCTATAAATGCTTTCAATCTATGGTCTACAGAAGGTGCTAACTCTGTCTATTAACATTTTAGTTATTTGTGCCCTATGGGCCACGCGACTCTCCCAGATTATAGGAAGATCACGCAGGATTTAGTTATGGGTTATGCATATATGCAACAGCGCGCTCAAATTCATGACTGTGTAACAATATGTGTGTTCAGCGACTAAGAGTGGATTTCCACTGTCACGTAATTTTAAGTGCGCGCGCACTTAAATTTTACGCACGTAATGGATAGATCATATAGGGATTAGAGAGCTTTACATTCGAAGACGAGGACGATTACGAGTTTGAGATTTTGTCAATACTACTAAGTATTGCGCGCACATGGCGGGAAAACGTGGTAGCCGTCGTCATTCTACTACGAGTTTTAGCGAAAATCTGGTTGTGGCGAAAACGAGTTTATATCGAATGTTAGAAATTTAATCATTAAATGATCGGGAGAGGGCTTAACCTCATTCAAAGAAAACAAGCGTGCTAACTTTGGTGGTGAAAAGAAAAGTACAATGAAGCTTTCCGGGAACTTAAAAAAAAAACTAAAGTTAAATGTCGTCCTCGTCCTCGAATGTAAAGCTCTCTATTGTATGAAAGGTTCAACTTTTACTTTACGCGCGACCTTCCATACATTCTCTATTTAATTTACACTCGTACGCACGTAAAAAAAATTACGCTACAGTGGTGGAATCCGTGTTTGTTTGAAAATGGACATTAGTCTACCGTCTACACCTATTGGGTGAAAATGGTAACCGACCGAAAACGCATCTTTTCAAAAACGCTCTTCAAAATGGAGATTTTGAAAACGCCCTTGTGCTGTACTCTTGTGGATACCAGTTGTTAGATACCAGTAAATGGGCACGCTCACATCAAAGACGGAACCGTTTTAACCATTTTCAGTTACTTTTGCGTTTTCATGGAGCGCGCTTCCTTCGTTGAGGAACTTTGTTTGACAAATGCGCGCGCAACACTTACAGATTACATGTCGACACGATCGTCTTTATGACTTTTATAGCTAGCTGTAAGCGATGTTCATGTTCTCCGCTAAGATGCGCACTCTGGTTGCAGAGTTTTAGGCTGTACAACACTGGTGACTAAGCTAGATAACACTTTTCCGACGAGTGCAGTAGTGCTGATGCACTGATGGACGAAGGGATATCCGAGCCCCGGTCAGTGGATAATCACATAATGGTAGGTACTTGATGTATGGGGACATATAATTTTACGGCTCTCAAAGCATCCGTTCTGGAAAAAAAATGGCGGCAATATCGAACTTAGTAATTGTTTTCTATAAAACGTATGTAACAATCATGTGAAGTTATACGGAGAAGTGGAAAAGGGAGAATGGCAGGAAAGATACGTCTTGCGTCATCTGGAGGCGATATAAAGATCTGGGACATGCCAGAACTAAGTATGGCTAAAGCATTCAGCCCTCACTCGCAGCCTGTTGGTTCACTATGTTGGAGCCCAAACGGTATCCTTCAAGTTCATGTAGACTTCTAATTTATGCTTTATATCGTATGCTGTGTTATGTGGTACTAAGCTCTAGTATTTACTTTTCAATGTTTTTTTAAGGCGTTGAACCTTCCACTTTCTTTACTTTCAAAGCAAATCATAGAAGGAGTTTCTTAATCCAGTTCCCAGTTCGATGTGTGATGTTTCGAGCCGTTGTTTATAAGATTGTATTGGTTTCAATTTGCATTTCAATAGAAATAACCTCTTAGTTTTGTTTGCCTTTTCATTGAAAATTTTTACTCGAGTATCAAGCAGCGTATGATATTTGACCTGCAGAAAAAAAGTATAACGAACTAACTTTATTTCCTATTCGAACATAGATCTGTTTTCACTTGGCGCAGCTAATGTTTGCCCAACACGATTTGAGATCAAAATGTCTGAACAGTTGTAATCTATTTTAACATTCTAAGACACCTTTAACTCAAACAGCTGACTATAATTGGCACCACGCAGCTTTCTCTTTTCGTGCAACCCCACACGTTAATTGTGCATGCATGTTTCGACTCTATTCCTATTAAACTATATGTTTGTGAGAAAAAGTATGAAATTGCTGTATGTATACACAATAAATGTATGGGGTAGGTATTACAAAAATTGCTTTAGGACCATCTTGTGATGTTAAAATTCCAATGACATTGAAATATTTGTCTTCAGTTAAACTTATGCTTACACCCTTAATTTTGAGCATCTTGCACTTTAAAAATAATGAAGCAAAAAGGAATAGCCTACTGAAAATGTGAATTTCTTGCTGTGGAAACATTAATGACAAAAGAAACCATGGTCGCTGGTGAATGAAATATTTCATTTTCTTCCCATTTAGAAATATCTTCATCAACTCCTTGCATTTCTTTTCCATAACCTATTACAATGTTGTAGATCAATCCAGTCCGTGATGTAATTGGGGCAAAGTTCTTAAAAAAATGTAAAGCTAATCAAGCCTATGTTTTATACATTATGTTCCAAAGTTAACACATTTTTTCAGCTGTATTTCCTTGACACCAATATTAGGTCAATGTCTGGCCAGTGCTGCCAATGATAAAGTTGTCGTCACATACGTAAAGGGGGATGTGTATGATACAGCTGAGATTAATGCTGGGGTAAGTGTATCAAAAACGTTAATTCAAGGATGTACCATTGTGGTATTAATGTAGAAAAATCCAATCAATAAAGCTGCATTAGAACAAAATCATGTTTTTATTGGCCAAAACTATGTAGAACATTAAAAGTGAATCAAAATTTATCTTTACTTTTTTGTTTACAATATGAAATACTGAAGCTCAAAATAATCCCTGCAATTCTGACTTTGCACTGAATCAATGGTTGAACTGCTTTATTGTGCAAAATTAGCAAACCATATCTTGTGGGCTGTGCTTTAGTAGCGGTGATGCCATCAGTGGCCCTTTTCACCTTTCTTTTGCTCTTAGATGATAAGGAAATCTTAGTTTATTCATAGAACGTCTTTGTTGGGTACTCTGGAGTTCACAGGTTCAGAGAATTTGGCAGCTCTGGTCCCTTCAATTTTTTCTAAGCGCACAACCTTGAACTTTCTTTTTCTCAGAAATGATATGATGCTGTTAGTTTTGCCAAAAATGTTTGCAAAAAATTATCTTCAAGTATTAAATATGTCATTATTTAAAAAAAAGGAACTGCTCCCATTTGCAGGGTGCACCTGTCTAGCTATTTAATGTTGTAATTTATGCAGCTAATATTAATATTTTGGAAGATTCTTTTGATTTTCTAATGATGGTTTTACTTGAAACACTGATGTTCACTTTTGTGGATGAAAAGCTTGCATCCTGTCATGTTTCCATTGTTACTATTTCTAAAATTACCTACCAGGTACTGTGAATTATAAATAAAATATTATCATTAATTTCAGGAAGGAAATACCTGTGTTGCTTTCAATTCGTCTTCTCGGTATTTGCTGACTGGTGGAAAAGGCAAGACTCTTAATATTTGGGACATGAAGACAAAAAGTATAAAGAAAACATATAAGGTTTGTTTATTGTTCAAAGTTTACCCAAAAACCAAAACTCTAGGACCATGAGAAATACGTTTGGTAAAATCATGGAAAAGGAAGTTTATGGTACCTTGCAAGATTTATACTCACTGGTATACTCATTTATACTCTAGTAGCAGGGGAAAGGTGTAACTTTACAGGAAAATATTTTGAAAGAGGCTCCACATCTGAATAAAAAATAGTCATAGGCTATGGAATGTTAGCCGAATTCTGCGTAGCAAACAGAATTCTCCCATCCCTGATGCCTCATAAACACCTTGTATACTGAAATAGTAGTGTCTTTTTCTTTTATGTTCCATCAAGAAGTAGAAGTTACTTGAAATAAAGTGCATTGTTTTTAGCTTAATTCCTATTCAGTTTTTCGTTAACTTTTAATTCTCCTCATTTGTCATGGTAGTTTACATTTCAGCTGTTTATTTTTTTTTTAGGATCACAAAGATGTAGTATCCTGTGTTACATTTAACTGGAATGACACATCCATTGCATCTGGCTCTGTGAATGGTGATATACTGCTTCATAATGTCATATCAGGACAAGCCTCAGATCCTCTCAGACTTGTTAAAACTCAGGTATTTTATGTCCTTACAGTTATTAAATAGTAAGTTGTGATTTTCTTCAGAAATTATAGTGGGAGTTAGTTACAGTGTACGTTAAAAATGTCAACATTGATTGATCCATAAGTACTTGATCTTGTATGTTCATTGATCTTTTGCAGGCAGTACGGGACATTCAGTTTTCGCACTTTAAAAAGAGTTTACTTGGTGCTGTCAGTGATGATTCAGCTCTTAATCTTTGGGACTCTAACACTCGCAAACTTTTCACATCATTTGCATCAGATCACAAGGCCCCTGCCACAGGTCTTAGTTTCTCCCCTATGAATGACATGCTTCTCTGTAGTGTGGGTCTGGACAAACGAATTGTGTTTTATGATGTACAGGGCAAAAAGTAAGTATTTTGTTTATGTATGTAATATATTTCACCACAACTACCTGAGATATCTAGCTATAATAAATTCCTTAAGTCTTAAACATAGTTTGAGCATAAAAGTAATGCTCAAAGTTCTGTGATATTTTAAGTTCCAATTTTTCCTGTTTCAGGTGTTCTTGTCAATGATTTGCTTATTAGTAAATATTGAAACCAGTCATTTAAAAGCATTTTAACTCAGGGCTAAAAGTTAGGTTGTGGTCTAGTTGATGTCACAGAAACAGACAGAAAAGGAGGTCATATGCATACAAAATTATGACTTATGGCTTAAGTGCTTATTGATTCATGACACAAACAAAAAAAGGAAAACACATTATCCAATGAAGTACCATGTAACTGATTGTTGGTGGATGTAACATTCAGACAATGTACCACGGCTGTCATTAAAATTTCAAGTTGGCCAGGTAAATGATACAAGTAAGCAGGGAATCAAACAGCTAGGGATATTGTCTGGTTCTATTTTTCTTCTATTTTCCTACTAAAGTAGGCGGGGTAACATTCATACTAGCTGTGGAAAATCCCCTTCCCTTCATGACTGCCCTGCAATGTACAGACATAAAACATAAACAAAATCATGTAATAGTCAGTTAACAGTCAACTTACATTGTTTATGTTGGAGCTGCATTAGCTAGGACTTCCTTGCTACTTGCCAGCTATTTACTGATATTTAAGCCTTTGTGTTGTTAGATCAGTAAAAGTTATGACAGCAGAAGCACCTTTGACCTCTGTTGATTTTATGTCTGACGGAGCAACTCTTGCAGTTGGATCAACTAGAGGTGAGTTACTATGGATTTCTTTCAGTAAATTTACATTTTCTTTAGTATGTTGGTTTGCATTTTCTTAATTAGTAAAGCGTCTTTCTACCCATAAATTAAAGGTGCATTCTGATCCATTTAATAATCATACTTAATGAACCAATAAGTTAGCCGTAAAATTAAACCGTAAAGTCAGTCTGTTTCTACTGTCAGTGGAAACACCGTGGTTCAAGTTGGTAACATGTTTGGCTTGAGATTGTGAGGTCAGGACTAAGTTAGAAATGAACCTTATTTTGTTCCACAGTGTTTAAAGGTTTATTAACTGGGGACCTCTTTGTCCTTTCAAAGTGTGAAAACAAATTATTTTGATGTATATTTGCCACCACAGTGGACAAAGTTTTGGGTCAATTGTTTGCATCAGTGTATGACCGTGTCTTAGTCTATGGCTTATTGACATTGGTAGAATTATGATTCAGATTTTTTTATTACCTATTGTAGGTAAAATATACATATATGATTTGCGCAGTGGGTCCACACCTGTCTCCACAACAGTAGCACACAAAACATCTGTTCAATCACTTGCATTCCGGTCTTTAAGCAAGGTTAGTTTTTGTTTTCTTGCTCTCATTAAGCTTTTCAATTTAACTGTTACTGGTAATTTAGTGCCCATGGAGTTTATTATTTCAAGCACATTTAAGAAGGGCTTGATAAAGAGGTGGGCTTATTAAATTTAGATACATGCATTACCAGTAGCAAAAAAAGGGAGTTAACAGACTAGAATTATGGTTGAATGTGGAGCTTTATTAAGTGACTATAATATTATAATATGTTTCACTCGAAATTTACGAATTACAAAAATTGTAACAGAAGATACCTGAAGATGGTATCAATTCTCTATTAGGAACTAGAACACAAAGTGGAAAGCTCAAGCACTTGAAATTTGAGAACTACATGTACCAGCATGTGAATAAACCATAGCAGATCCTGCAGCCCACATTCTTGTAATCATGAATCATGTTGATTTGTATGGTCACCAGTTTGCTTGTTTTTACTACTACACAGAGTCGGTCTCACATATGTAAACTGAGTTAGCAACTCAGTAGCTACTAGACCATTCAAATAATCATCATTTGTTTTTCTCCACAGGTTAATAATGCACCTACAGCCACCAGCAAAGGTACAAGATCAAGTGCTGTGCTTAGTGGTAGACCACTAAAACCATCAGACAAGCCTGATGACACATCTATCCCCCCTCCATCCTCGCCAACACCTATGCCTGAGCACCAAGATAACACTGCGCATACACCAGTGATAAAACAAAATGGTGTAAAAGAGGATTCGGAGGACATCTTCTCACCCCTTAGAGAAAGTATGTTATTTTAATTAGCATTTTTTGAACGGGTTTATAACATTTTTATACAAGGTCCATCGCCCAAATGTAAACCTGAAAGTAGGAAGGGAATAAAGGGGGGTCAGTAAACTGTAAAGAGAAGTGTAAAAGAAAAAAGAATGCAACACAGCATCATAATTTTCCGAAATTTCTAGAAACCACTTTGTTAGGCAAACCACATTACAATACTGCAGGATAAAACAAAGAGACTTGAGCAAAAACCATTATGACCCTGCTCCCGGCAAAAAACCAGGCCTGGTTATTTATATATTGGGACCAGTTTCTGGCAAATGCAGTCCTACCATTTGGGAGGGCTGGGACCATCTTTATCTTAATTGATTAACTTGGTTTTGTCCAGCAGGTGAACTTTTAACTTTTAATATTATATTATTAAAATCTTCCAGTCAAGACTCCCGTGGTCAACAGCAGACAGGCTCCTGTTACTGGATCAAATAACTTCAAGGAAAACAATCCACCTGATGGTAAGAATATTTCACTACCACTCTTAATGGGCATCTTTGTACAATATCTATTGTCATAATTTGTCACTCTCTGAGAACTTTTAAATCTGTGGAAGAAACCCTATGGTGCTACCATTCAAGTGAAACCTTTATGGCAGAACTTTTGCATAGTACTATTGGATTTCTTTGGGTTTCACGAAAAGAAATATTTGACTTTGGTGAATATACACTACATTAGAATCCTCATTTCTTGAACTGTACGTCTTGTTTTATGTTCACTTAATTTTTGGCAAGTCACATTTTATGATGATTAATAATTTAAGCAACTTTTAAATTAATTACAATAGGTAAAGTTTGCTGCCTTACAGTTGCTTTGAAATTAGACACAAATGTTGTCTTGCTTGCTTTGTATAATTTTAAAAACTAACTTGTGTTATTAGAAAATTAAACTAAGACAATATGTTTTTTTTAAAAAAATCTACTTAGATAATAATATACATGTACTGCTGTCAGAAAAAAGAATAATAGAAATCAATATTAAAACTGTTCAATTTATTACTTTTTTGCACATTAGCTGGAAAGGAAAAGGGAAAAATATCCCTTACCTGTTTGGCAATAGTCTATATTATGCATAACTAGTAAGAAACTGTAGGATCTTGACTTTGTCTCAACAGGTTCATACAGGTACCTTGAACATAGTGCTTGTTTTATTCTTGATTGTGCAGTGGCCACAGTTGGTGACTGCTTTGTTTTCAGTACCATGATTTTCTTTGTTTTTTCCTCTTTTCAAAGTTCATGAAGATAAGAATTATTATCAAAATGGTATTCGTATAAAATTATATGTGCTATGAAACATAACCTAGAGTGCAGAATGTAGAGTAATAAAATTAGTTGAGGAAAGCAAAGAGGGTATGGCTGCATATAAGATATTGGCCTGCTGTTCTAAGCAAAGGTTTTCACCACAATACTATAATAATATTACTTGATGGAGCTTCCATCTTGCTGTGCACAGAAGCATTCTTTTTTTCCTTACTACCATCAGTCCCTAATTTTGACTCAAACTAACTCTAAAAGAAGCATGGTAACTACAGCATATTTTATTAACATTCATATCTAGAACTAATTTTTATATAAGTGTCTCATTCAGTAAACACAAATTATTATTCTGACTCTTAAAGTGTATGATGGATTTCTTTTAATTGAGGTTCTATAAAACATGAATAAGGTTATCACTATGTACAGTTACTCACCTGTTGAAAGTTCATGTGGAGATATTGCATTTATGCCAGACACAACACAAAGGTATTCAGCCTTCTAAGTTTTTTTCTCAAGAAACCATCTCTTTTGGGAAAGTAACAAAGTGTACTTATGAGTCGGCGTAGGTCAACAGCTGTGTACTATAGATACCATACAGGTAGACATTTTTATGTATTTTTATTTTTTGTTGGCTTCTTTCAACTGAGTGCCTTTTTAATTCCTTTTTGAGCATCATATCTCAGTTGCGGGTTGAAGGATTTTGTGTTCTCACTAGCCATCCAGCTTGTGAATAATACTGACTTTTTGCAAGCTCTCTAGTTACTGTACACAGTTCAGATAACCTCTTCAGTTCCTTTGAAATCAAAAAGGCTCAACAACTTAATTAACCACCACAAATGTTTAGAAAAACGTAGATTTAATTCTTCAGCTGTCCATTTGTGACAGCGAAGATTCTGTTTTGTAACCCTTATTAACACTACCAACACTGCCGAAATTTGAGGCAAACTCCAAATTTCATAATAAACTAGTCATTAATTTCAGGTCAGGTTTACTCAAAATTAATATGGCTAGAGGTAAGTTTGTACACAAGGCTTTAGACTCAAAGGCCAAGGTTTGAGTCTGCCCCAGTCGTTCCTGGTGGTGTGTGTTAGTTTTTCCTTTAGTGATGAGATAATTAGATCTCAATTAATTTTTTGCACTAACACTTTGTACTCTGATGAATTTCATGGGAACATCTAGCTACTGATATCTTTTTAATTTTTTTTCCAAGTACAGCTTTGACTTTAGTCCAAACTACCTCTTTTTATAAGCAGCCACTCAAGGTGTTGCTCACGTTATCAGGGTGCCAAGAAAATAAATTTTTCAGTGTTGCTACTGAAGATGTACTAGCCCATAACCATTTAGTCAAGTATACCTTCAAGTACAGTGTATATTATCCATGCAGTGGCCCAACTACAAAATCTACCAACTCCGGGGGTTACCCAATGTTGAATTTGTCTTACATTGCACAGTGATGGTGCTTGGGCCATACTATGATAGACTTTATACTATCACAACCAGGTAGAGAAACAAAGGAATACTTTTAGGTGCATCATAATTGTGACAGAAATATGAATAAACTCCACAGGACCATAAACTCCATTGGACCCTAGGGGTTGACCACAACAGCTTTAGCTATGGATGAAAACCCTTATTTAATATTATTAACTTTTTAATTTGCTCTTTTTTGAAAGGATCAGGAGTGTTCTCACCAATAAGGAGCAACTTATCGTTAGCCTCAAGCACTGAGCCACAGCAGTCGGTCTCTTCGACCATCACTGTACCAGACTCACCAAGAACTCTTGGAGTGACGACAGCATCAGTATCAACACCCCCTTCTTCAAAATATGCTCGCTCATCTACTAGGTCTCTCACAGAAGTAGGTACAGTAAAGGAACGATCACATGATGGTATGTCCAAATCACACTCAGACACGAAACTTATCACCAGACCCCCGCCTGATGCTAGCCTTGGTGGGAACCTGATACCAAGTTCTACTAGGCACCAGTCTCAAGGAGAGTATTCATCGGGGAAATCACATGTTACAGAGTTGGATGGAGATGACAGACAGCCATTCAGTGGGTCTTTACCTAGCTCAGGAAACAGTCGACCATCAAAAGTACCACATGTAAGTAAAACAGGTGCAAAGAGGTACTGACCGATATTGATAATGCTGGTACTATGCCCCTATATAGCCCACTGCACTTTCGGGTCAAATTTGTTATGCCATGTTTTTTTACTCATTTAAAAAAAAACTCTTGCCTCATTTAGCTTGCAGTACAAACAAAAGAAACCTATTGTTTCCAACAGGAATGTAACTACCAGAGCAATGAGTGTATCGGGTTCCAAGTGAAGTGAATTGAGTAATACAATGTTGCCTTTCTGTGCGAATTTGCATCATTTTGAACATTATTTCATTCCGAATCAGTGTTCACCACATGAAAATGGATCCTTTCTAGCAAGATCTACCCAGATGTAAAGTCACTTTTTGTATTTAGTAATCCCCAGTTTCTACTAACCATGTTCAGTCTTATGTGCTGTGTGTTGTTATAACAGTCCCCACTTGGATCCCCTTCTCAATCCAGAAGGACAGTAGAAGCAGCAGGAGTAGCAGATCAGTTCTTAGCTCACACTCGAACAGAGTTACAAGGAGGTAAACACAATAATATTATTATAACATTTGATGTGTTGGGTATCAGGCTGACTATTTCCTACTCAATTCAGGTTAAAATTTTTAACCCAGGTTAATTCTCATTTTCTTTTGTCTCCTAGCCTTAATTCATGAATAATTAGGGCTTGGAGACAAAGGAAAATGAGAATCAATCTAGGTTAAAAAAACTCAACCTGAATTTGGTTTTCACCTGTAACATAATAGTTAGGTACGTTTGCTTTCATGATCATTATCATCATGATCATGATCATCATCATCATCATCATCATCATCATCATCACTACGTAAGCCGTACACTTGTATTGATCTGAATGTAAGTGTTGTATATTTATCATTTTTTCACTATCAACAGCTCAAAGTTTGATATTTGACAGCATAAAACACAGTATAGAGCCCTTACCAAGTGGAGCTGTCGCGATGGCACCTCCAAATGAATCTGCAACGGATGAGGCAGGTGCTTCCAGTGATACAGCTGGAATGTTGCCATTTCAAGTGCAGTTCATTAAGAACTTAATTGATGAATCACTGGATGAGTTCAGGTACAAAAAACTCTCAATAAGGTTCACTGAAAATAAGTCAGTTTAAGGAATAATGAATATTTTGTCAAGGTATTCGGGGTTAGATGATGACACCTCAATGTCTTGTTTTCAGGGTGGCAATTCATAGGGATTTTGTTAATTTACAAGTGGAGATGCTGAGGCAGTTTCAAATTCAGCAAGTAAGTTAAAACTTTGACATCATTTCTTTGTTGCGAACCCATTATCCATAGCCCACATGAAAGGTGCTGCAAAGAAGTTGATAAGCTGTAACAGTCAATCTCTGCCTTGGTTCCTTTAATAGGAGCTTTTAACACTTCCTATAATACTGATCCAATTTTAATAGAGCATTATACACCATGCTTAGAATAACCTACAAGTAAGCCTTGTTTAAGTGCATAATCAACAGTAAGTCTGCAGTATACATTCTCTTTCCCTCTCTATTCACACCCATGTCATGCACCTGATGGCTTCTGTTTAGTTCACCCACTTGCAGCAATAACTGAATTGTTGGGGAAGGTCATTGTCACATACAATTAAACATTTACATACATTCACTGAAAGTTACAAAGTCATTGATTCTTCTGGTATGACCATGTTGACGTCTTGGAAGTTGGACCCTTATATTGTAATGAAACTCAATAGGGCAGGAGAGGGAATGATGTTCTTAAGGGGGGACATTTGGCGTGCAGTAGCCATAAACCGCTTACAAGCTCCTACTCTTCTCTCACTAAGAGACTCCAGGCCGGCCAAGACCAAGGCTTCTGTATATGATTTTGTCCCGTCTCTTCACAGAGCTTGCCCACTGTCTGGTGAACTTGTGTATATATATAATGATATTAATTATTTTATAATGTGTCTTTTTTTCAATGATTTGTATCTTTATTTAGAGCAAGTTGTAATTTAATGTAAATTTTTATCCTAAATCTGGGTAACATGCATTGTTTTAAACCATAACTGATTATTTTAGCGGTGCCAATGTTTGCATCTTTTGTAACAGAATGAAGTGAAAGGAATCATAGAAAAGTATTCAGTAAATGAATCATTGGTGAAAGAGATTGAGCGACTCAAGGAGGAGAACAACAGACTGAAATCTAAATACTAATGATAATGTTTGGTGAGAACCTGTTAAATTAAGCTTATACCTAGATAAGTATCCATCATCATCAAGGTGAGGGATTCACTGGACTAATTCCTTCCTTGCATATTGGCTTCTAGGAGAACAATGGCTCAACATTCCTTTGAGTCAAAAAATTATGGAGTTTTCCTGTCTTGTTACTATATTTCTGCAGTGGCTGCATCAGCATTTACTTTGCGCATTCTGCAGCACTTGTCTCAAACTGGTACTATTCAGTATGTTTTCCATTATGCTTGTGTTAATGGTTAAAGGACACAGGAACACTAACTTTGACTTCTCAGAGTGATTTTACTTGACCTGTGAAACAGAAAATACCAACTAGTGCAAAATAGCTACAAGTAAACAAAAGGCAACTTTTTCGCTTGCTTTGCGAGCATTTCTTGCGAATTGGTGCTTGACTCACGCAGTCGACTTGCGGCAAGTCTAGCAAAAGAAGACAATGGAATTATTAGTGCGTAATAGCACGTAATAATTATTCTACTACCTATTTCACTGGTAAAGTAATATCACTCTAATAATGTTATTTATAATAAATATTATTATATATTTTATTTTATACTTACTATCATAAACCAGAAACTAATAATGATTGAGAGAATGTTTACTTCTCAACTAGACTGGATCTCAATCTGGTTAAAACAAAAATAATGCATACAGAATCCAACCAAGTCTGTTCAACAAAACTGTTCAATAATTTGTAGAGACAAAGTATCTTGATGCTGTGGTAAACATTAAGGGGCCCCAAGCCCCTGCCCCCTCTCCTAGATCTCTGAGAGAGATATTCACTTTTATAATGTGGCTTCCAAACTTACTTGAATTAAAAAAAGGTGGCCTGCATAGCAGGTACAAAAAGGGCGGAGGGGAGGAGAAGAAAAGCACATAAGGGAAATGGAAAAGGGGAGCATTAGCTGCTTTAAGAGTCAGTGTTATTACATTATGCCCATCAATAACCTGATTATTCTGATGGTGTTCCTTTTTCCTCTTTACCCATTCCCCCTTATTTTTTCTCTTTGTCCAGATCCCCCACCCCTTTCAACATCTGCCACCCAGGCTATTTCTGTTCTAAGGTAATGAAATAGTTTTGAATGTGGTTAGAAAATTTTTTCAGTTGACTTTCAGACAATGTTAGGTATTTAATCAAATCAAAAAACCAGACAAAAGAAAGATTCAGAATAGACTATCATCAACAAAAAAAAGCTGCTTTAATATTATTAATAATTGTGTAACTGGGGATTACAAAGAATTATGCAAATACAGCTCTGCTCTCTGAAATAAATAGAAACAAAGAGCTTTCTTGTTTAGTAAGAAACTTTTTTTAAAAACTTTGCAATGACTTACCTCACGAAAAAAGCAAAATTATTAACTACATCTTTCATCAACACTCACAGAAGGTGGGAGTTTTCAACAAGACTTAACTTGATATCATAGAAAGACTAGTAATACAAGTGCAGCAAATGTTGGCCATATGGTTCATTGTACTTGTTCATTCCCTGTAGTTGAGTTTGAATCAGTTTTGATAATTATATTGATAAAATAGATTTAATATAGAAGAAATAAGACAACCGTTTATTGTTCAATAATGTTTAATTATAAACAAAAGCTATTTTACTATTTAAACCACAGGTGTGAAGTATTTTGGGATAAAACGATGCCTTGTAAATAACACAGTTTGTAGTTTGTATTAGTTGTATTCGTGTAAACTAAAATAAAAAATTACCTGAAATGTTTAGAAAAAGTGTGATCATTTACCAAATTATTGAAGCTGAGTAGCCTTAAAGGAAAATTTCACAGGACGAGTAACATTGTTCATGAATTACTTCTTGATGACTGTCTTGAACTGCACAATGTACATGTAATGCCATTTTCTAGCCAGTTAACAACTTTCACATTCCTTTACCATCACTTTGCAAGAGAATTGGCTACCTGTGATTCCTGTTAACAGAAACTTATAATTTCTAAGTTTCAAAGAACCTCTGTGTTTCCCATACAAATTAATTACCACATTGCCAGAGTAATTTTTAGAGATGTTTTGCAGGATCCACCAGTGATTTTCCAGCCAAACTGCATTATCAGTCTTTTGTGCATAATTTCTTGCACCAATACACTCAAAATGAGTCTCATTTTTGACCATGGTTATTCACCTTCTTTCTGCTGCATAGTAGAGGCTGAATCCTTTTACGTCAGATGATAGGGACTAAACATGGCTCTCCAGGCCTGTTTCACTGCTTTCCAGAAAATAAATATCCCTGAGCCAGAGGTAACACCTGATGATTAACCATCACAAAAATATCAGTAACATGAAAAAGTGATCATTCAACATAAATGTTTACCTCCATTTCTAGCCAGTCTGCATTTGTGGCACACAGAGCAAGTTATTCATTCAAAACATACATGTAACTATGTAGAATGCTTAAACAGTTCCCTTGGGATGGTGCTGGGAGGTGTAGGGCATATTATTATATTATTAGTAATATTTATTGAAACATGGATCACTCCTTCCAGTCTTACTCTGACAAGATATTTCCTTGGCTGATTAATAAGGGACTTCACTCGCCACTAGAGGTCTGCTCCAGCATCTTTCCAGCTTTCTCAAAGCCAAGTTTTAAGCTAGAAATGTAATACTCTACTCACCCTGATATCCAGTAGCTGTAAGCAGGGCATATATGAAGAACACAAAAATCAGTATTCTGAGAATTGTGCTGGTTTTCTTGAGACTAAAGGAGATATTCCTGCACAGTCTCTGAAGCTTGTTTAAAACTGACAACATCCTTATAACCACTACACTGTGAACAACTAAAGAAATACAACATCATGTGTTAGATCTAATGACACTAAACTTGTACAGGGACAACATATAATAATTCCATTAAACTGGCCAAAGGAAAATGCAAAAAAAAGGTTTGTAAGAGAAGAAAGGACCATTTCATCCACATTTTAGGTGTCCACATCCGCCTAATAGATGTTTCTGCTGAAAAGGGTTTTATTTACAGTAAATTGGGGACTTTGACTGCTGTTCACTTAATACAGGGAAGGAATATGTACTTTATTAATTTCATCTCAGTCTTTTACCAGTATTCATGCTATTACCTATACTAATAATATCAACATTACTTTCAGATTTGAAGCCATAATCTGTCAAGTGTTGCAAATTTGTTGGTAGTTACCTTGTTTCCGCATTGTTTTAACGTGTGTTTTTTCTTCACCCACATCTCTTCCAGCTTCAAGATTAGAACAGCTTTCTACCTAATAAACAATAATTTACACATGCACAGGATTAACCATGCATTCGACAGGCACAGGTGACACAGGTGTTATTAATCATGAGAATAAAAAATTGATAGTTCATTATAATTATGGCAATAAGTAACGTAAGAGTGCTCTATCTGTGGTATTTGCATGGTTATAAAAAAATTAGTGAATTACATGTATAGCATCCATACTTGCTTCTTTACTATTTCTAACAAAAAGATCTATGACCAGAATACCAAACAGGTAGTGAGAGAGGACAGTAAAATCACAACTAACTGCTCACTAGTATTTCATGGTAAAAAATGTTTAACTTAAATAGTGTTATAATATTTTACAATTATATTGTCATATTTACCTTTCTCTCACTAGCCATTGTTAAACTATCAAGCATGACCTAAAAAAAATTTCTTGGAATTCATCAAAGACATAGAGGAACTGAATCATTCCAATGCTTTAAATTAAAAGAACACAGCTGGTGATGTCCAAGAAAAGGCTTATAAAAAAGTTTAAAATGTGTGACAAGCCCAGCCACCATGGTTATTAGAGTACCGACAGTGCTGATGTGAGACATGCATAAATATTTTCATTCCAACAGAGTTCCACTTTGCACAGCTGGAATTGTTTGATTGTCACAAGTTCATGTCTGTAACTAGCCAACTGGTTGCCTCCTGCCAGTTGGGTGTTTTTAATCCTGTTATGTTCTATTTACATTATTCTTTTTTTAAATTACCTGAATTGAGCTGTACAACTGTACAGATATTTTTGTATTATATAAACTGAAAGGTCTTTTCATTTGAAACAAATGTTTGGTAATTTAACATTTTTTGTGTTACAGGACAGTTGTTATTTCCTTGTGTTTATTACTGTATATATTTAGGGCAATAACAAGGTACATTAAATTTATTTTGCTTCAGTTTTTATACCTGTCTTTGTTCAGGAGTAAGAGCTCTGTTTGTCTCCAAAAACTGCTGAACTTTTTCATTCAATTTTTGAGGAAGCAAAACATGCTTTATGTAAAATTCTGTTACTTCCAAATAATTTTGTTGGCTGAAGTTGTCTTCAAAACAGAGCCATTTCTCAGCAACTTCAATGGCCTCTGCATGTTTTGATGCTTTCATGAGAAGACAAATGCTGTTGAACATCAAAAGAAACTCACAATTATTACAATTAGTTTTACAGATTTTATATCGTTTTTCATCCTCAGTATTTTTGTAAACAGGTAATTCAAGGAAATGTATCTTCAAAAAGCAGTGACTTACATTTCTCAGCAGAATATTTTGGGTAAAACATTATGTGGCTTACAAGCTGTTTCTACTTTTGGGTTTTACTAAAACGTGGAGGAGGGGGAGGTGAAGGGAAAAGGATGCTTCGCTAAGGAGAAGAACTCAAGGATTATTCAAGGAGTGATATAACCACACATGCTCTCACCATAACTTCAGCACCTCCGAAGGAAACCTTTCAATATTTCCAAACACCTTCCTTGCAAAGTCAATAGCTGCTTGACTTTGGTTGATTTCTGCATAGGCCTGAATTGCAATAACCACAAATGGTATTGTACACTGTTCAGATGAATCCCTATTTCCAAGAGAAAAACAAACTGGAAAATAAAATGTGTGATTGGGTGTCACTAATTGATTTATCTATTAGTCTCCCCTCTCACTTTCAAAAAAGCAGGATGGGGTATGTTATACTGCATCATTTCTTAGCACTAAAAGCATCACATTTTAAGTTCTACGTGGACTCTTTTAATTGTACTAAATATATATGGTCCAGTGCTGAGCTGCTTAATTTTCAACAGTTATATTAACAATTTAAGTTTTCTCTCACTCTGGCTAGATCTCAAACAATTTTGGGAAATTCCAGCCATAAAAGCTTGCTAGAATCATCCCTGGAGTATTGCATGCTAGCCTAAACATTCACACCATTAACCTCATGCCACTCTTCACTATCTGAAAGCCTGGAACAGGCTATCCCATCATCACCTCATTTGATTTGGTGCTTTCTGATTAGGTGTTAACATGCCCATGTGGGACAAATTTGAGTAAATACAAAACCCTTCACATTGCTAAATACTTTCTTTTTTCGTGTTTGCTGGTGTAATCCCGTTTTCTGTTTGTTTGTTCATGTTTATTTACATGCACAGAAATTGCATTAGGAACTGTTCTTGTTAACAATAACACTGACTGTCAAATATCTTGACAGCCAAAGAAGTCATATTAAGAGTTGCAAGTTAAATATTTCCGCTTCTTAAGCAGGATTTTCACCTGACAGAGTTGGTGGAAGGAGCTGATCTGTGATCAATCTTTTGCAAGTCAAGCACCTCAAAACAAATCTGCAGTGCATCCTCAAAATTACGGAGAACCAAACAGCGCTTTGCTTTGTAATGTAATTGCGAGATATCGCAACTATCACTTTGTCTTAATTCCATTGTTCTAAGAACAAAATCGGCTGGAATATACGAAATAGTTCTGAAATGCGGCGACAAGTATTAAATCCTGCTTTCTGTGATCCGCCATATTGCCAGTTCCAGGCTTCCCCGTCCTCTTACAAAAAAGAAGGGTGTGGTGGGGGTTAAGGTGGGGGAGGGGGAGAGGCAGTTTAGGTGGAGGTTGTTTCAAACACTTTACGCACCGTTTCTTTCACTAAAAAGTAAAACTATTCCCTGTCCAAGCTCGCGCCTAAGGCTTTTCCCTCAGCCTTTGGGAGGAGTCCCTTCCTTTTTCTTTTTTTTTTTTACCTTTCAGTTCTCCTTAAGAGCAGTGGATGAAAACGACGTGAAAAATAATGATCAGACCCCGATTTATTGACAAATGTGTCTCCGTTTATTAAATCATTCAGTTTAGAATAAACAGTATTTTTCTTTCTTTCTCTTCGATGGTAAAGAAGGAAATTTTGATTCATATAACCATTAATTGATTGACATGATGGCTTTGGTATAAAAATTTTCGATGTTTAAAGAGGATGGAAGTTTATTTCAGTGAAATTCAGCAACGGATTAAAAGTGTAGAAACAGAAAAAGAACATCCATTGAGTACAATCCCTGCCAAAAACGTTTGAAGACATGAAGAGTAACTATTTATTAAAACGTTGATCCAGTGTTCCAGAGTGACTGATCAAATCCTAAAAGAAGGAAAACAAAACTGATTAGGGTTGGTAAAAACCGGTATATTTTGAGCTAACTAATCCATTTCTACACAGGAAATGAACTGAAATGTCAACTGAAAAGAAAGGAAATGTTAACGACAGCCTCTGATTCTTCCCAGCCAAGCCAGAGCAAAAAGAAGTTCTTTTTCAAGTATTTGAAGCAATTTCTAGTCAACTGTGAAGCATGACAAGTTATTTTTAATATAAGCATTTTAATGAAGTTTTTAACTTAATATACACATCCAGTGTAGCGTACCTCAACCTCTCGCCCAGTGTCTCTTTGCCTCTCTTGTCCTCGTTCGACGACAAGGGATGCAAAATAGAAAGACCCCACTGGAAACACAGTTGTAGTTTACCTTATTAGAAGTCAACATCAGCAGTGGTATCATCCACTGACTTGTCTTCAGTTTTCTCGTTGTCTTTTCTTGCCTCATTGTCTTTCTCATCTCCTGCTTGACTTACAAGCTGGGCAAACTTTGTAGGAGCATGCTCAAACTCAACACAAGCTTTCACCAGGTCCTCCTCGAAGGTACTGTTGCGGCGAGAGGTAGCTGCGCGCACACTCTGTCAATAAGAAAGCATAAAATTTGTTCAATAATCCAAGCAGCGTAAAAAACTGAAAGTAAAATATTACTTGAGATTTACAAAATATTTTACGTCCTTGCAGACAATACTTGGTGTCCCTCAACGTACCGACGGACCTTGGCTAAAGGTTTAAGAGATTTTTATTCATGATGTTGTAGAAGTTCTCACCGCTCTGGTATGCAAAGCTTCAGAGTTCCGTCTTCGTGTCTCCATGCTCGGGGAAATAATTGAGCAAGCGATGGCCAGCTCCTCCTCAACAGTTGTGGCTCCCTGATCCATACTTTGCTTCCTCAGTACCTTACGATTCTCCATGGATTTTCTCTTGCCAACCTTCATGCGTGCTTCTTTTATTGCATCATCCCGATTGTCCTCCACCTTAATAGATTCCAGCTCCACATCTTCTCGCATTTTTCCTCGAGTGCAACATCTGTAAGTACATTATGATGACTTTTACAATTTTATCCTGTTTTTTGCTCTATTTGTAATACTGTTGCCCTCGGTTGAACTAGAGGCAGAACAGCGGAAACAAAGAAGTGGGGTAGCCTGAGAATCAGTCCTTCTTTTCGGAGGAGGGAGGGAGGCTGACGTTTTGTAACTAGTTTTACAATCTATTAATTACAGCAGGGTGATAGTTCGCTACCAGTTACAGCAAAATTTATGTTATAGTTACTGTACTGGATCGTGGAAGGTGTTCGAAGCAGGTAAAGGGGTGGGGGGAAGAGGGGTTTTCCAGTCCAAATCGCCTTCCCAACTTTCTCTTTTTCCATTTCCGTTGTGAGGGCCCTCACGTGGGAGTACAAAACTACCGAGATGATTTCGTTTAATGATAGGATATCTGTGCAGCATAGCCTTGTCCTTCTTAGCCAGGTAGCCTCCTTGTCTGCTTAGGACGAATGATGATAAAGTCAAACTGTTCATTCAATTCAAAAATCAACTGGAAAATAATCTACTTTGAGGGTTATAAAATTTTCTTTCCTTCCAAATCTGTTACAAATTTATCAGTATGTTACCTGTGAAGGAACACAACTGCAATAACCAGAAACACCGCGGCAATAACGACCAGCGACCACAGGATACCAAGCCCACTTGAACTCGACTCAGGTCTCTTTCTTTGATGATGATGAGCATGCCGAAATCTGTTGAGTCTCTTGTGATGACCGTCATCACGCGACATGGCACGAGAATTCACGAAATCCGTGCTTGCATCATCTCCACTGTCATCATCGAACTCATCCTCATCATCCAAATCCTCTTTATTATACTTTTCACTTTCGGCAGCAAACATAGCATCCAAGTCTAGACCAACAAAAATAGTTATGATGGAACTCTAAAAAATACTCACTGTTTTGGACGTTTTTTGTCAAGATGGAGCCATTTCAGATAGAATTAAAAAAATCACAGAAACTTCAGCTATTCTAGGTCTTGAGTTCGTTCGCCCTGTTGAAAAATTGGAAAGGGTTTACATTTCTCTTGGTTATGTAGGAATTGAGAAAGACTGGATTTCAAAAATTTTGGTTATGTCTTGTTTAATCACGTGACACAGGAACACTTCAAAACGCGTTTATGAAGGTGTCTCCAAAATACACTTCAACTATTTAAATTGTCAAAAGTTTACGTCCTTTATTGTAACAGAACAAGCTACAATATGTAAACAGATATGATTCGTTTGATCTCTTGGTACAAGACCCGTGGATACTGCCGTCCAACCCCTCACCCTTTTATATAGCATTTTTGACTAAAAAGGTATCTGACAAATGGTGGCCCTTTCATCTCTCTTAACTGCTGCAAATGCACTGTCTTTTAAATATGAATAAACCACAAAACGACTTCCACGTAGCCATAAAATAAACTGCAGCTGTTAGTCCTTTTGGGCCTTTTTACTGACCGAAATGACGGATTTCCCTACCCTTTCATATACTTTAACTAGTGAAACTCCAACCCTTTCATATACCTGAAAAAGGTACCCCTTTCGGGTGGAGCCTCCCAGTATAGGCCACTATAGCACTATAGAGAGTACTCCCCCCCCCCCCCCCACACACACACACACAAGCTGGGTTACTAGATCAGGGATAAAAACCACAAAAACAACGTTTCTATGTTGACTCACCATCCTCATCAACCGATGTTTTCTTTCCTTTTTTCAACATTTCAAGTTGAACATTTTTCCAGCCTTTCTTCCCTTCTTTTGTAGCAGATTTCTTTGTGCTCGACGGAGATCTGTTCACAAAAACTTTCAGTTCTTTTGGTTTGTCAATAATTTCAACATTAACTCTTCCTGTTGACTTTTGTTTTTTGCTCTTTTGAGCATCCGCTGCAGTCTCCGTATCTTCAAGTTCATCTCCTAAAGGTTCAATTTAAAAAGGAATTTAATTTATGATGAGAAATAACTTGTTCAAGTATCATACAATATTACGGGGTATAAGAGTCGCCTTCACAGTGTTAAACGATGATGGACAGGTCAACTTAAGACTTCGTCGACTCTGTGTGGACGATCTAAGGAAGTTTTTTAGCTGACTCTCACCCCTCTCACCTATAAGAATAGTTTCCATGAACTATTTTTGTAGCCTTTACTTTTTTATCTTAGAAAATTAATCTGATTTCAACGGACCTCGAAGGAGGCACAAAAATTATCAAAGTAAGTTTCTTAATGAGCAGCTATATATGGTTCTCTAACCGCGAAAAGTATGGTGGGATAATTCAAAGAGAGATTGAGTTTGGCACTGATTTTATCTGAGGAGGAGTGCCGCACATGTTCAGTGTGCGGTACGAAACTAGTTAGTAGTCAGTAGATACAAAGTCGGATCTTACATTGATCAGATCACCTGGTTTTATCACGCTCCGGTTCTTCTATTGAGCACTCTGCCGATAGGCGTGCATGCGTATCAACTTGTGTAATTTTGAGTTGAGTATCGAAAAAATTGTTCAGTGCAAGGCTTGTTTTTTTATTGTTTGATTGTGAATTACAGAGTTGTAGCTAAGCCTTGGTTCAGTTTATTCCCAGTTTCTTAATTTTTATATAATTTGCACAAATCAAACGTTACTTAGGCTACATATTGACCTGATGAAGATCCCTCTGCAGTCATCTCTTGAACTTCCGCTTTTTTCGTGTCTTGGAAGGAAAAAGATTCCTCCGAATCTGGTGCATTAATGAGCTCCCCTTTTGAAAAATACTCCTCCTCGTTTTTAATACTCTTTGATCCAAAATCTTGTGGCGCTGTTAGTGGACATAATTTACAAGAATTGAGCAAGTTTTTAGGTAAACTATAAGGGTTCAGCTTCAGGGTTCAACACTTCAAGCACTGTTCAAGTGCTTTTATTAATAGACCGTATTTTAAATGTATTTTTACTTTTTAACTAATAATATAAAACATGTAAATATAGGTATGTATTTTTACGCGCAATAAGGACTTACAAGACTTAAAAAGTGGTACTGCGCTATGGATATAACGTTCTATATCAGTCACTGAGTACGATGCACTCTAAAAATAATGCAATTTTAGGAGGGTCGTAACAAACATAATATTTTATTCATATTTTTTTCATAAATTCCTCACAATCTATATATGACAAGTATTGACTTTTGACTATTTGTCCGTACAAAGCAAGATGAGCTACTGTAATTAATTGTAACGCACTTGCGTTTTTACAACAACTCCGTATTATATTTAATATATAATTTACAATTCTAGGATTGCTTACCTTTTATTGGGCGACACTCCGCATTTTGATTCAATGTCAGCATTACAAGCAACAATACTCTGAGTACTAAGGAAGGCTTCATAGTGAAACCTCCCTGTAGCTT